CTATAGGCTTCGCCCGTCAGTACTAATACTCGCGCATACACGGATGCTCGACGCTTGATGTGATACATCTCGCGTGCCAGCGTGGATCGTTGACGTTTCGAAGAGAAGAGACTTCCTTCGTAGTTATCAAACTCCACAATGCAGCACGTGAGGGCGGTGTTAAACGTGTCCACAGATTCCTTTACAAGAAGATTCAAAAGAAACGTTTTACCCTGTATTCCATGCTCCTTCATTAAGTTCAACCAGTTCCATTTTATATTTTCCACAAATTCACAATGCGTACGGTGAATCGTCATCACCCGTGTGTCTGTCACAAGAATGGTGAGACGATTCGTAAGCTCTTGAAAGCCGTCCATGCAGGCCTTCGAAACGTCTTCGGCGTAGCGGACAACAAGGCAATGACACCCATCCATTACAGTTGTCTGTGGCAAAAGCATCGGTTCCAGTGCATCGCTGACAAGCGTTTCATGCGTACCGAGGTCAATCAACACTTGGGAGAGGGCACCCCGGTACTCGTCAAGGGAAGCCGTCGGGTGCGCTGAGATGTCAACCCAGTTCCACGCATTGTCCGGCCCGGGAAGAAACGATATGAGCACTTTGGGTGATATACGGCGAAGGCCAACCGCCTCTTTTGTTGCCTCGGATGCGGCAGCGGAAAAACTCGTGCGGAGCCCATCGCTATCCATTCCGGCCTTTGTGAAGGCGCTGCCTAATGCCGTGGACAAAAAGGCCTTGATACTCTGGTTGCGTCGCTCTTGATAATCGCGGAAGGCAGAGGGAAGATCATCATCCAACGAGGTGCTCGAAAACAGTACTGCAGTCCCTCGGGGAGTAGGACTATTCGTGGCGGGAGCCTTTTTCGTCGCTCCTTGCAAAACGCGTGTACGCTCAATTTTGTCTTCTTGCCGCGGAGCCAAATTATACCCTGCGGGTTGCATGGGACGCGATTCCGTTGATAAAGACGGCAGCACGGTCGTATTCTTCGGCGATGCAGAGGATGTTAATGCCCTTTTTTCTCTTCTACTTGACGACACAGCCGTCTTATCTGCGGAAGTCTCGACTCCTTCCCGGTGCGCCTCCTCTGCTGTGAAGCCGGGGAAGAACCACCGTGACACGCGTCGCCCCGGCGGTGGGATGCGTGGCGGTGCTGCGACACCCCCGTTGACAGACGACGATGATGCTGAAAAAAAATTGGGAGAGGAACCGGGATTACCCGCAGGAGTCCTGGAGACCCGGTCTGGTTGACATAAAGAGACTTTGCTCCCTTCCGTAATTGTATAAGTGGAGGCCATAGTTGTGTAAAGTGGATGGTTCCTCCAGCCAGATGAAACTACTCGAATGACTCTTCCCCGTCTAACAGACATGTGAAAAAGTGTCTCGTTTAATAAAAAACGGCACCACACAGCTTTTGATGATATCAACATTTTAAATGGCTCTAAAAACAGTTCTGAACTTCCCACATGTATATATACATGCGTGCGGAGTTATATCAAAAATAATGACGGTACGAGAAAAAAAAAAAAAAAAAAAAACACATACATTTGTATAGATTCTGCAAAGAATTATATGGTAGTTTACATACATGTATATATTATGCATCTATGTACAAAGGGTTGAGCAAATTACACATGTCATCGTTTTACACGCGTGGATAAAAACTTTATGCGTGCGTCTTCACTCGCCCTCTCATTCTGTTTCCCTCGCGGAGGCATTGATGCCTTCAACAAAACACACACACACAGCTGCAACATTACCCCCTCAACCAGTCTAACCACCGATAGGGTGTCAACACACATACAACGCAAAGACTTATCCAAAACAGCCAAAGGAAGATTACAAGAAACTCTGCAGGCCCTCAGATAACTGAAAAAAAAGGTTACCTGCTTTTTCTCTAGCTCCTTTCTCCATGTTTATCCTACGCACCCTTACCCGATACTGGTGCGACCACAGCCTTCTCCAGCGCTTCATCCAAGTTACCCCGGTTGGTGCTGTAGAGATCATCCATCTTCGGCGACATGGGGCGGTAGAAAAACTTTACGGGCTCCGGTAGAATATCGTTTTCTTTCCTCATGATTTTGTCCACGTCAAGCTTCACACGTTCGTATCCGTGATCCCGCCAGACAGGCTCCACACGCACCATGTACTCACACAATCGCGCCGCCACAATTTCAGCCACGAGCGACTTCAGGCAGATTTCACCAAGAAACATCAAATGCTGTGGAAACATGTGACCGGCAGGGTGCTCTTCGTCTGGCAGTGTCAACCAGCGTAACTGGCCCAAAAGTTGCCGAACAAAGACAGCCTTCCTTGAGAATGCCTCCTCTTCCATATCGGCAGCGCTACGGCCACCGGTCCCTACTGTCATGTGTCGCTGTGGTTGTGGTTGTGGTGATTGTTGTGGTTTTTCCATCGCTTGTTGAGCGAAGCCATGTGTGGCAGAAGAATGTACCGCAATGCCTCCCAGGCCTAATGCAGCAGGGGAGCTTGGCTTGTAATCCGCCTTCAACGCTACTTTATCCAGTGTATAAAAGCCGCATAAATCATAGACGGTCTCCATGTTGTACGCACAAGTCACAAAGTCCACCAGGTTTGAATAGTCTTGAATATGCCCATTGGGGTATATGCGCATGAAGGGGCCAAGGATGTATCGATGCAGCACCAAAGCCCCCTGGTGATCCATCCCACGGAGGCCACCTTGCATGCGGTACAAGTATGTATCTCGTGGCTCTCCAAAGTGAAGCATCTTTGCCTCCTCTAATGCCACAAGCATCGCGTAAAGCTCATTGCGGTGTTCCCGCTCATACCCGCCGTAGTACTTCTGGTAAGCTTCTACCGAGAGCCCCAATTCTTCCAAGAAGACGGCTAGAATTTCCTCTGGATTCCATCTGCGTGGAAACTCCACCATCTGCGTGTAGTGCATATCCATCAAAGCGTGGTCTTTTCGCCCGTGGTGATTCACCCAGAGGGCCACCGGCTCCTTGCAGAGATCACACCACTCCGGGTTGCGAAACACCCAGTTGCGTTTCTGCACGAATCCGTTAACTATCGACCAGATGGGAACGTGGCCCCCTTCCGTTGCGTAGGGCGAAGGAATGTTGGCAGAACCAACAGGTGGGTTTTGCACGACCTGTTGCAGTCGGCGTAGTGTTCTCCGATGCATCCAGAAAGAAATTTATTTCTTTAAATTCTCCCCACTCCTTTCGTGTTTTTATTATTTTTCTGCGCTTCTTTCACTTCCTCCCCTCCCCCCCCGCGCGCGCCTCGTTAAACACCGCCCGGCCAACCCGCCCGAAATGCGTTTCCCCAACTTATTTTGTGTGTGGCAGTAACACATCGACCCACCGAAAAGAAGTGTCATTCCAAAACATCACAAAAAAAAAAAATAATGAAAAAAAAAAAAAAAACAGCTGTGAACATAACAGTAAATAACGCTAAAACCAACTGCGAGTGGAAGGAGGCAGTGATAAAAAAAAAAAAAAATGGGGGAGGAAAAAGGCATCCATCATCATTGTTTGCAACATACACACAAACCACATTTCAATCTCCTTCGTCCCGGTTGGACTGTCACGCAAAATCCCGTTCATTCCCTCCGTGCCAGGCTCGTCTCTCCAAAGTCAAGCATGTACATATATACATGTATTTATGTACATGTATATATATATATATATTTCATAAAGGAGAAAGAATGGACTGTCTCTCTGTGTGTTTGTGTAGATGAGAAATGATAGGAGTGTGGAAACAATTTAAATCCAATCCAACATGTTTCTTTCAGGATTCCATAGCCCGGAGAACTTTGATCATACATTTTCTTTTTTGCTTCTCCAGTGCTCTTCGTCGTTTTAGCACAATTCGCCAGTTTCGTTGAATTACGGTTGCGCAGATATCAACATACCGGTCTGTCAGACAGTTCACACTGTCACGATACCGTAAAAATGACTGTAATAAAGTCACCACCTTCAATCTCCTGCGACGTGCCTCGTCATCCAAAGCAAAACTCATGGGATGGCGACGGTAAATACCCTCCATAATCACCCTAGCCACATTTGGTGGGACTGGCTGCTCCTCTGAATAGATGGTTGCATTCAACGCTGGAAGAGACAACAAAAAATCCCCCCCGCCATTGCAAGTTTGCGAACCGGAAACCGCAACGGAACTGCCATCGATGAGTTCAGCTCGACGGTGTTGAATCGAGTTCCGTTCGTCGGCTTTGTGACGTTGCATAGAAAACCAGTACCGAATCCGGTACCCACGCGCACAGCGTTGAATCATTGAAACGGCATCCACCTTGACGCGTTGCCGTTGCTGAATTTCCTCCTCTTTTTGCAGGCGCAGCTCCTCCTCCATAAGACGTTGCAGCCCTTCTGCCTCTTGGCGTTCCCTCAGTATCCGCTGCAACTCGGAGAGCTTTACGTGATGAAGCGGTGTCATAAATTCACCCAAACATCGGGCATCTTCCATACGAAATTCCCAAGCGGCAACCACATCACCCAACACACGGTCCGGCGGAAGCGGGAAGACACTCGAAAAAAGCGACAGACTCTGTGAGACGTTGTTATCATTCGTCGTCTCATTGCTATCTAACAGCTGACGTGCGACAGTGTCATGAAAATTTAGATAGCCCCTTTTTGGGCCAAACGCTTCCATAAAGTCCAATTTCCCAGTCACGTAATTCATGTAAGTGCGTGTTTCCCTTTCCCATCGCTTCAACACTTGGTAAAAATGTTCACGAAAAGTTCGTAAAATCACTCGGCATGCAATATTTTTCTGAATGCGACGCAATCGCGCAGAGCGGGTCGCAGACTGTGTAAAAAGATTGGTGTCTGGTATAGAGTAGAGTTTGTATTTCGATGACAAAGTTGGAACGGCGGCCATTCGGGTCGAGCGCCAATGATTCGACCAATCATTGAATTCCCCGCCTGATAAAAAGGAAGCGCTGTTCTTTTTTTCCATCAGTAAAGAGTTACTAAATGAAGCACCGCGCTGTCTCATAGTACTTAGACCAAAGTTATTTCCCGCTCCGTCGGAACCCGCATCGTCGGAGGAAATGGCCTCATGTGCAATCCGCTGGTCCAACTGGTAGCTAAGGCGCAAAAGAATTGTCACCATCTGCCGACGTGCTAACCATCCACGGACAAACCGTTGAATTGCAACAACAGATTTTACACGTAGAGCCATGCTGCGAAAATGTTCTTCCAAGGTGGCAGCGCGACGTTGCCGCTCACGTCTGGCCAAAAAACATCGAAAAGCACACTGCACTCGAACCGTTGCCAAAATAAGTGAAAGATTCATCTCCGCTTTTCCAGCGTCACTAAGCGCAAAGCTCATCCAACGATAAGGTTCCTCAATGAGAAGAGGCTTCTGAATGGTTTTGTCCCTCTCATCCTTGTCGCCAGACCGCGTGTCCAACGCGGGTTCAAGACTCGTCTCCACTTGCCCTGCAACAAGATCCTTTTCAGACGTCTTTGTTGACATATTTTTTGACAAGAAATGGGACGCTTTAAAGCTATTTACCGCACCCCTGACGGGCTTTAAGGACGATGACGACCAAGACGACGTGGCCTGTGACGGAGATATGACGCTACCAACTTTCATGAAACGCCGCTCCTGTTCTACAAGTTTAGTGGTCCGACGAACCACCACCTCGTGTACATCAGGAAAAGCCACGTGTGTTGAGGCCTTCAATCGTGCAAGCCGCAATTCTGCCGGTGACAACAACGGAGAAACGCATTTTGTCGATGAGCAGGTAGTTATTGGGGACGCCTCGCCAAACCCCGTGTAGCCAGGACCACGGGAAACAGATTCTTCCACAACCCAACCATCGCGTGTCGCCGTACATGTTTCCTTCGGCCTGCGGTCTGCATTTTCCCATTCCTGCATATTCCCATGGACGTGTTCCCACTCATTTAGTTTTGAACTACCCTCCGTTGATGGCGCAACGCCACAACCCATCATTCTTCCCCCGGATGGTGTTGTATTTCTGACGGCCAGGGGTGCGGTTAGTAAATCGGCTGCAATGCCACCACTGGTGTTTGAAGTGCCTTTGGAGTCCAGTGTGTGGATGGTTGAAAGACCCAACTCGGATATTGAGGAACCAGCAGTCACAGACCGGTCTAAAACAGTCGCAGGTTGCCGTCGCCGAGCCTTCCACACAGCCGTGTCTTCCACCAGCACAACCTGCTCGTGGGGCTTGAAGAGGTTACCGTGATCCTTCACCTTGCGACACATTGCCCGCATGGATGCCAACAGTTCGTCATTTTTTTCCCTGTAGTTTTCGTATATTTCTTCCAGCTGTCTTTTTGCATCTTGCGAGATTTGTGGATGCAAATCGCCCAGGCAAAACGATTCCTTCTTAGGAGACAAAAAACACGCACTTTTACTCTCCTCTGGGGTTTCTGCTACGACGTTCAGCGACGTATTCGTCATCTCCGAGACATTCAAGTCATTACTCCGCATCCCCGAACACCCGGATGTTGCAGGTGAAGTCAAGGGCGATAAAACGGCTCCTCGAAGTCGCCTCGACGAGACCGTCCCCCTGCCCATTTTGCCGACGGCAGAGAAGGAACTACAAGATAGGGCCCCACGATGCGCACACTCTGAGAAGTTGTCGTTATTTCCCCTCTGTTCGCTTCCCTTTCTACAGATACCAACGCCGTTCATGGGTTTTATCAGCGTCACTTCATCTTGTTGTTGTTCCTTTTTCTCCTGTTCTTTTTGAAGTAAGAGACGCGCTGAATTTGTAAGCGATTGCATAACGGCAACCGAACGTTCTTGAGCCTCGGATGCCGATTTAATGGCAACCGCTGCCCGTATGGCATGTGCATCCACATTATTCACGAGATGATACTCCACATCGCCAGAAGGCAGCATAGAAGTGGCTATTCCCGCCGAAAGCGGTCGTACATAGCTTCCAGGCAATGCTGGTCTGGATCGCCCCAACACCTTTTGCTGGAGGGATGCTTTCATTGCCGAAACCGACAACACCGGCGACGGCGGCGGGGTGGATTTATCGCTGTGTGCGATGTCTGCCGGCTGCTCCTGCACCGCCGTCGTCTCGGAGGCTCCCGAGAAAGGTCCGTCTCTCAGTGAATCCTCATAGGGCACTGAGTACGCACTGCCGGTTCTAGTTTCCACAAAAGACGATGTGGACGTTGCATCCATTCGTGATTGAATCCACAAGCGCCTTGAGCGAGCATCTGAAACCTCTTCGGGACCCGTATCCACGACGTGGCGAAAAAATGGTCGAGCTTCCGTCACAAGTGGCGGCAACACGGGGGGTACTTTCCATCGATTAAGACGTGTGCGTCGACCAAACGAAACGCCGCGTTCCGGGGGAGAGGGCTCTCGCCTTTTCCCAGCCGCGGTCTTGTTTTTTGTACCGTCAAAGTCCACCGCCTCTTTATCGGTGGGGAGAAGTTTATTCATGTAGTACTGCGTGTCGCGACCCTTCATCTTCTTGCGGGCCTCTTCGTACTGCTTCTGCAACTGTGAAGTGCGCACAAGGAGAGAGTCCATCAGCAAACGATCCTCCCCAACGGCGCCAGAAATGACTTTACGTGGACTCTTACCACCACCACCACCACCACCACCACCAAAGTTACTACTTTTCTCCTCCGCATGTTGCTCGTGTAGGACATATCGACAGAGATCCAGGCAGCGGCGCAACTCCGGAAAACGGCCCTCCAACAGCAGAAGCTGTGCCACTACATGGGCATCTTTGACCCAATTGTAAACACTGTAGATAATGTCGTCATCGCTCTTTGTATCATCTTCATAGTACCTGCGCAGCTCCCGCAGCTGCATCCTGATGGAGTCCAACTCCATGACCTAAAAACAAAAACAACAACAACAACCAATAACAGTAATAATAATAATAATGCCAAAAAAACAAAACAAAAACAAAAGGAAAAAGCACCAGTGCATAAAAACAAATACGCAGACACACGCAAAGAGATACACATACGGCATAGAGGAAAGATACATGGGAACTAATCCACAGATGTGCAGTTAGAATGTCACCATCAAGAGGTAGAAAAATTGAAGCCATTTCACTTACTACCAACGCCAAAACTAGTTTACCGTGTATCCCAGTATATGTGCATGCCATATTCCCTCTATCTGTTTGTCTGTTTGGTTGTCCCTAACACACGCACAATCTTACAACCGTATTTTTTAAATATGTTTCATGGCATATCGGGATCCATTTCTTCTTCTTTTATTATTATTATTATTATTATTATTATTGTTGTCCCCCCATCTTGCTGGTAATGTTCTTAAGCCGTATTCTTCTGTCAATTTCTTTTTTCTTTGTTTGGGAACGTTTCTTCTTCTTGTTTACGGGCAACTGCCTACCCACAGAGATAGGCAGAAATATAAATTGCACAAGAAAATCTTGCTCTCTCTCTCTCTCTCTATGGGTGAATTTATATCTCACCTTTTATTTTTCTTCTTCTGTTTTAAGACTCCATCTGTATTTTATTTTATTTTTCATTCCGGTGGATTTAAAGGGAAAACTTCTATGCTCTATCATGTAATGGTGACTGCACCCCCATCCCCAGCACTCAAACTACCTTCACAGCTTCTCCTCCCCCCCTTTTTTTTCATTTTAAGCCGTTTAAAAATGCTCGCTTTTTCTTTTTTCTTTCGATTCCTTCCTTCTTTCTTTATTTCAAGAGGCGCGTGTCTCAAAACAAAAACCACGGCAGTCGTGGAAGGACACGTGCCACTTGCCGTGCAACGACATCTAACAACATCTTCTGCATGCTTCTTGCTCGCGCCGCCTTCTTTTCGGCCTTCACATGTGCCACCACCGCCGCCGCACTGCTCCTGACGCTGCCACCACCACCACCACCAACACTCTGGCCCACATTGGGCCGTTTACTCGGTGGCGGGGGCACGTACTTCCGCACCCTCACCCGCATTGGGACGCTTTTCCCACCGGAAGAAGAGACTTTGACCTCCTCCAACTCCAGTCGCGGCTGTTGCAGGGTCCGACTAACATCTCCTGTTGGGGGGTTCACCCGTCGCTCCTTAAGAATGGTCGCCACCGCCGTCTTCTCATGCTCCTCAAATGCGCGGTCGAAGCGGTCGAGCTCGTCAAGCCACATCTGAACAGGTGTTGTCTTCTTGAGCTTGTCGATGCGTTTCTCGGTTTCGCCGATTTTGCGGTTAAGATTCTCCAGGCTCGTTTTTGTGTAAAAGGTGATGGGTTTACGCAGGACATAGTCATAGGAGTCATCGACGCGAACCATACCCAATTTACTACACGTCTTTGCCAGACTGTCGTCTGTGGCGTTGACAATGTCAATTTTTCCTTCACGAAAGTGGGTCACAAACTTCAGCGTGGATTTCTCCCGTGCGAGTTCAGCCTCAAGAAGGCCCAAGTTACGTTGACGTCGTTTCTTGTAAAGGTCAAGGCGGCGGTCGTAATGCCACTGTAAAACAGGTGCCAAATCCCCTTCCAGAGGGGTGAGGACACCAGTGGGGGAGAAGACGGTCCCATTGATGTAAATACGTTGGGTGAGGGAAAGTTCACTCTCACACTCCGCGTATGTTGTCATAGCGCCATTCGTGAGTTCCAAGTCAATGTCCACATGGTTCGCACCCGAATAGTCGGCAATACGCTGCACAACATCCTTCGAAGCGAGAACGGAAATATGGTCGCGGAATGCCTCAATGCTAAGTGTCCATGGTATCTCCGTCACGTGCACACGGCCATCTACGTAGTACTGATAACTTCCAGCCGCAATGAATTCTCCTTCGGGCCCTCGACGTACTTCACCCTGATACCCTACAGCCCACGGCACAAGCCGCCGTACTACAACTTTGGCAGCCTCGCCATTAATCATGCTTCGTACCGCTGCTGAAACGTCAAGCGGATGAAAAGGAGGAATGTTTGATGCAAAACCAAATCCAATACCAACACTGCCGTTGCACAGCAGCAAAGGAAGAATGGGAACGTAGTGGTTTGGCTCCACCTGCTGTCCTTCTTCCGTAACGTAATCCAACAGAGGCTCATCTTCACTGGGGAAAAGTATCCGTGCCAAACTGGAGAGTTTTGTAAAGATGTAACGAGCCGCCGCGTGATCATTACCGAGCTGCTGACGAGAACCAAACTGACCCTCTGGAATGAGCAGGTTAATGTTATTCCCACCCGTAAAATTTTGAGCCATTTTAATAATCGTTTCTTGCAATGACATTTCCCCGTGGTGAAAGGCCGAAACCTCCGAAATATAACCTGACATCTGTGCCACTTTGGCCGATTCGTTACCAGAGCGACGCATAATGGCCCACAAAATTTTCCGTTGGGAGGGTTTTAATCCATCCACAGCGTGTGCAAGAGCGCGGGCATTACCGGCAAGTGCAAAGTGTACCATCTCTTTGTGAACAAAATCGGGTACAGTCAGTGTCTTCTTACTTCGATCTATATCAACTTCCCCTGTGTAAGCGTTTGCCTTTGTCATCCAATCCTTGCGCCACTCCACTTCCTGGGAATCAAACACACTGTCAAGTAATTTATGGTCATTACGTTCCACCACAAGTCGCATTGTGTGCTTATCCATGTCTTTAAAGTACTCCTTTCCCTCGGCTGTTGTGGATGTGCCGAGACCTTTATAATACTTAGCGGTATAGGAAACATTTCCATGTGTCTTCTGCCACTTGTGAAACTCCTTCAGACTGAAAAAGGAATGGGTCGACTTGTCTCTCAGACGCACCTTCACAATGGGCGTCGAAAAAATGGAAATGAAGCCCGGATTGCGATTCAGCAACGAGGGCCATAGTGCCTCAAAGGCATTGATGACAAGTCCTTTAATGTGTGATCCATCGGCATCCTGGTCTGTCATGACTAGCAGGCGTTGATAGCGTAGCTCCTCCGCGTCCTTGTAGATCTTCCCCAGTTCAAGCCCCAAGGCACAGAAGAGTTCCTGTAGCTCTTTGCAGTTCTTAAGGCGTTTGAGATTTTTATTGCGCACGTTTAAAAGCTTCCCACGGAGTGGGAACACACCTGTGTAGCGTTTCTGGTCGCTTGACAGGGAGTTCTGGGCGAGTGCCTTTGCAGAGTCGCCCTCCGTGACAATGAGGGTGCGGACGAACCTTGGGTCCCGGCGAGTCGTGGTGGCGTCCACTAATTTCGTGATGGAAGAGATGAGAGATTTGCTGCTCATGCGTCGCCCGGCGCCCATCTCTTTATTAAGTTCTTGTGCGAGCTGCCCCGTCACGGTGTTGACATGCGCCTCGAGAAACGGCATGCGAAGAAGAAAGTCCATCAATTCCTGTTTTGGAACACGCGGCATCGTTGGCACGGAAACAAGGCGCGCCTTGTTCTGCGAATCAAACTTCGGTTGCACCTGCACGAGAAACACAAGAATCGTAAAATGTCGCAAAACACGATTTGTGTCAATCACTTTGTTATCCTTCTTCAGTGCCTTCTCAACATTCTCCAGTGAGGATTGTAAGACCTCCTGCGCCGCGTTGCAGTGGGTGCCGCCGTTGTGCGTCACGACGCCATTCACGACACCAAAGATACGACGTGTGCCGGCGGTAAGGGAGGGAATAAACGCAATGGCACCATTGCGGCTCTCGTACACAAACGGTGCCGGTGGCATTTCTCCACTGGAAGTGGGGGAAGAGTACAACATGGCGTAGTCGGCGAAGGATTTAAAGGCAAACGGGACGCCGTTCAGTGATATTTCAATGCTTGGAAACATCGCGGCAAGATCCATGATGCGCTTGTGCAGCACACGCTTCATGTCGTGTGAGATTTTATTCGCGTCCAATCCAAAGCGTTCGTAGTCTGGAAGAAACTTCACCCGTGTGAGATTCCTCTCTCTTGGGTCGACGTTCGACACACGTGGGGCTGTCGCCCTGCGCATATGATCGTGCCAACTCATATGAAACTCTTTCCCTTTTGTGCGGCAGCAGACGGAAAAGCGGTGAGACAAAATATTCGTTAGTTTTGCGCCGTATCCGTGACGTCCTGCGACGGCATTCTGACTCGTGTCGTCGTAGTTGGAGCTGGTGAGAAGGTGGCCAAAAACCATCTCTGGGATGTAAAGTTTATGTTCTTTGCTGCGTACAATGGGGATACCGGCACCGTCATTCTCTATTGTGATTTCCCCAGCCTCCGTGATGTGAACGCGGATGTACGTCATGCGCCCGCCTTTGTTTGCGATGTTGTCAGAGGCGTTGAGGAGAATTTCATCCACGATCTTCAGGAGGCCGTGGTTGACCTTCAGTGACTCCCACACCATGCGGCCCTTCTCATGATCAAAGACAAACATGGAACTGGAGGATGTATCCACGCTGCCAACGTACATCTCCGGCCGTATGAGGACATGGTCGATGGGGGTGAGTTTCTTGTACTTCGATGCCTCCGCCATTCGCTCCTCCTCCCCTCTTCTTCTCTGTTTTTCCCCCCAACACAAACACGTCAAATTTTTCTTTTTTTATTTTTATTTATAATATTTAAAACGACAATAAAACTTCGTGGTCTATGCGCACAAATGTGTGCGTATGTCTATGTGTAAGGATGGCGGGTCTCTTTCCCTTTTTTTTTTCTTTCTTTTTCTTTGGTTGCCGCCCGCGGTGGCTGCTCCTGTAGTTCAAATTATGACGCCTAATGAATTAAAGAAAAAAAAAAAAAAAAAAAAAAAAAAAAGAAGTAAAATTAATTAATTTTATTATTACCTTCCACCTGTCTCTTTTCCCTTTTCTCCCTTTTCTCCCTCTCTCTCTGTGTGTGTGTGATGGCGGGCCCGTCAATGACCGGAGCAAAACTCCCGACCGTCTTTCACGGCAAATACGCACACAAACAGGCGGCTCTGTGTGTGTGTGTATGCACGCTGGTGCTTCCCTTCAACGTATTCCGGCGCAACCAAAACAAGAGAGAAGAGAAGGAAAGAAGGAGAGAAATAAATAAATAAAAAAAAAAAAAAAGAGGAGCGTACATCCATCGCACTGCGCCGTGGAAGGCAACACCGCCCTCCCCCTCTTCCCCCCCCCCCCCCCTCCAACCCGCGGCACTCAAGTAACGTCCAGACCGAAGAGAACAAAACGGACCGCACGTAAAAAAACAACAACAACAAGAACGGTCGCAGCAGCAACGAGAGGAACCACAAAACGACAGGTGGGAAAAGGAAAGGGGAGAAAAAAAAAAAACACATGTCAAATGATAATTTAATTTAAAAGAAAAAAAAAAAAGTAATTAAAAAAACAAATCGCAAAACAACAAAAAGCAGCAACGACAACAAAAAACACACACAAAACAAACCGAAAATTCATTTGTTTTTGTGGTTCACCCTTCGTCTCCTCCTTCTGTTCCCTCCTTCACGCATACATACACAATTCACCCATTCACTCACCAGAAACAAATATTGGCTTCACTCCCTTCTATCATCCCGTTGGGCTATAAATTACTGTTGTCGCTCTCTGTGTGAGCCAACAGATGCCATGGATGCAGACATATCTTTGTGTGTCTTTCTGTAGGGGTGGGAGGGAGGTGCCAATGGCAATAGACACCCACCTCGTGGAAGTACACGCCGTCAGCCAAACATGATGCTCATCCATCACTGCCAATCCCCAAAATTCTTTTTTTTTTTTTCTCTCTCTCTCTCTCTATATATATATATAAACAAACACACACGCAATTCATTACCAGTCTCTCCCTAAATCATATTATTCACAGACAAAGGGGAGGACAACACTCAAATAAATTGTGTTTGTACTGTACGTGAAACATCACATGCCGCACGACATCCCTTCGCCATAAAGTGGAATACATACGGCAATATATGATACACAATCAAATCTCTTTCGCTCGTTCTCTTTCCCTTTCTCCGCCTCTCTCTTTACATATACATACATACATGTATATATATATATGGATCTATATATGCACATACGCCCATCTCAGTTTTCTGACATCCTGCAGCAAAAAAAAAAACAAAACAAAACAACAACAACAAAAAAGGGAATGAAACAAAAAAGTGTTTCATTTATTTCCGGGTTTAGTAAAAAACAGTAACAAAACTCGGCCAAACCCCATCAAAAGCGAAGAGAAATACAAAACAAGAAAAAAAAAAAAAAAAAAAAAAAAAAAAACACAAAATAGAAGCATTGTATTAAAACGACTTTTATGATGCTCCCAACAGGCTGAAGTGCTCCTTCGCCTCCGCTAACTTTCACATTTGTTCACTCGTACTTATTCCGACCACCCCAACACACAAATATTTACGTACACTCTTTCAGTCTGTCCGTATCATTTCTTTGATATCCGTAGGGCGGGATTATTCTGCACGACATAACGGGACCCCGGTTTTTCTCTCGGCCGCTTGTGATTCAGCAGCAGTGTGGGGATCCGGCCGCTGCTGTTCTCCGTATTCTTCCAGTACAGGTAGAGCCGCTCATTCCAGTTTGGAAAGTGCCTGACGATGTCTGTGTACATCACCACTCCGTAGCGCGACGACGCTACTTCGTCTGGTGGTACCCCAGAGTACTCGAGCAACACTTCTCGCGCCCCCGAGACGGTGGTGGCGTTGTTGATTGTCACAAAAAAAGGCTGGCCGAATATAAAGGGCTGACATCCGTACATGTCACCCGGCCAGTCCCCGTGACAGCACGCAAGGCGAAATTCATTTTCCATCAGTGGCTGCGCGGGCAAAAGCGAGAGTGTCAACGGCTCCCGTTCCGCCTTAATGGGCAGCCCACAGTTGCACTTACCGTCTGGCGTCATGGGGGCTTCGATAATCTTCCGGATGGTACCGACACCTACATCCACTACCACAATCACATAATGTGAAGCAATCCTAAAAGGAACTGCCACGCCATCACCCATGTTGGCACTGTTAATATCAAAGCCATCACAGCTCTTATTAATTCTGCCGCTGTTACCATCCTTGGCGGCGGCGGCAGCAGTAGTGGCAATTCGTCGCCGCAACATCCGTGAGCATCGCTCCAGCGTTCCCCGCACCAAATCCCCAAACGATGCATTTTGCCGCATCACAATCTTCTCTGTGTAAAGAGGCTCGTTCGTTTCAGTTCGGACAGTCACAATAACCCTCGGCATGGCCTCTATGACACGCCGTGGCTTTGGTAGCACTTCAAAGAACAGAACACAATTTCTTCCACCACCTAAAAGTTCCCCAAAACTCATCGTGCTCGGTGAGGGGTCCGCCTCTGGTGACACCTGCTCTCTCGCATTGGCGTCACCCCGATACAACCGAATGTAATTGGGATCAAACCCACTCGCAGCACCAATTACCTCACACACCTCTGCGTAGCTCCACTGAGTGTTCATGCTCCGCATATATATTTCATTGACATCAAACCTCCTCGATGCGTAGAAGCTGGTATCGCAGCATTCCTTCTCTTCATCTTTTGTGCATAACACAAACTCCACCACTGAGGAATCTCCAACTACGCCTCCCTCACGATCGCTTCCAACCAAAATACCACTACTATTACTATTATTATCACCACCACCACCACCACCACCACCAGCACTTCCACTTCTTCCAGTTGTATTAAAATTAATGTTACTGCTACTACTACCACTGCTGCTAGTACTAATAACACTACCACCATTAATACTGGTGCCGCTGCTATCAAACATCCACAAATGTGGGGTGGTATTTTTTTCAAATTTGATGTGTACTATGCGCACAAGAATGGCATGCAAAATGGCATTAAGATATTCCTCAACTCTTGGATAACGACAAACCAGTGGTGTCTCTTCCCGTTGACCAATTAGCACAGCTGCAGATGTAATACGGGCGGAGGCAATCGTCTCATCATTCCGTAACGGACGCACCGTTGCGTGCTTTTCCTCGAGCATTTGAATAGGTTCCGTCGTTGCACCGTCTTCATCCAACAACTGGCGAAGCACATTTCCACAGGCTTCTATTGTAGCTGTCAGTGGTACGATCGCCGATCCAGCGTAGATCAGACGACATGTGATGTAGTTGAAGTATTTAAAGAAGATCAATACATTTTCTTCGTTAGCTTCCGGTAACACCGCCTCACCAGGGTGATATGTTGGCTGAAGAGTCGGCAATGCCGTGGCGGGAGCACCTAAACGTATCTCACGCACCCTCACGCTTGCCGCTGCCTTTGGCATCTCAATCCGATACACAAGGCCCAGTATATTCTGTAACTCTGGGTTGACTTTAAAATTAAACACCGTGCGTTCATTTGTGTAACCCCGATCTTTGTACTCAAGCAGAAACCCCTCCTCACTGCGGAGTTCCAAGTAGACAAAGAATTGCGACCTCCGGTAACAGCCATACTCCAAGTAAAGATTGACACTATCCAGTTTGACAGACTGGCGCAGCAAAATGGAGCAGGCAATTTCATTCACTTCCTCGCTTTTCTGGGACTGCAAGATAAATGATGTCGCATCCGTCACTGGGAATGGCGGCAGCATGGTCGGTAGCTGGAGGTAAACAAAGATAGATGTCATGGGGCTATTCAGCTCCTCGCCCTTGTCAAGATATTCTGCCATTAACGTGTCACCACAGGCCTCATATGTTTTGAGCGGCAAATTTGGCCGAATACTTCGATTTGCTATGGAGCGCCACAGGCGAAATTCGCCGGGGTTTAATTGCAGTGACTTCAGCTGTTTGTGTGCGGCAATCACTTCGTACACCAAACGCACCGGGTCTCGCTTTTCTATCCCGAGTTCAATACCAAGCTTTGCGGAGGCTCTTATGTCTCTAGGGAAGGTTTCACTCTGAAACTGCTCCACGTGCTCGCGGATAAGTTCGTCCGTAAATATGACCAGGTTCATTTTACGGCGCTGCTCATTCTCCATCTGCAGCCGGCGATTATCCTCCAACACCTCGCGCTGGAATGCGTTCCACACGCGCTGGGGAATACTATCCGCCGATGGAGATGCCAACACCTTTGCACAATCCGCACGCCGTACATAGGACAAAATATACGCGTTATTCGTGGCCATTACAGACGATTGACGACCTTGACGCGTCACACAACCACCAAAGTTGTTACTAACCGCCAAATCCTCTGAAACAACAGTCACTTTATCATCATCATACTCAATCCAGCGTACAAAACTTTCTTGTACAGGGTCCCATTGTCGAATGTAGCAGTAGTAGTGACCACTACGTACTGAGCCACGATGCACAATAACCCCTTGTAAATCATAAATTGCCGGTGAATTTGTACTGAACGGTTGTTGTTGTTGCTGCCGTTTTTGCTTTTCTATCATTTCTTCCGCATGATTTCCCGTATTTCCCTTCGGCTCTTCATTTTGCCTCTTTCCCACCTCACAGTTCTCACCCCCCTTTTCAAACTCCTGCAAACACAACTCCACAGGGAATTCAAGACGATTATTCACCTTTTTCATCTCCAACGAAGGTGACATGAGATTCATTTCAAACCGCTTCAGGTGAAACCAAATAACGGGTGGGAAACGGCAAAACTCATAACTCTTCTCTGCATCCTTGTACTCTGGCTCCTTTCCGAGCTCCTCGACACGATATTTATTGTCCCCGACCAACTGCTCCTTTACTGTCAGCGAGCGAAGGCTCTCAATGAGGGTAACATGTGGGCTCAGTGGCAAGTGAATGTCGTAAAAGATGTCACGACTCCTTGACACGTATGTTTTATCAAGCGTCATCACCACCTGTTCTCCACGTCCTTCGAACAGTTGATTGATCGCCCCCTCTGTAACTGTTCCCTTCATTTTCTCCTCCAGATTATCACGCAGCAGCGTTGCCATCTCCTGAATATCATGTTGGATAAACAATTCCCGCTCTGTCCATCCAAATGCGGCAGTCAACTTTTTCGTGTGTCCCGGTGTCGTACGTTCCTGCATGTGGAAAAAGAGTTCTTTCAGTGCCTCGGAAATACTGCAGCTTCCATCCTCCTCCTCCCCCTCCTCCGGCATGCGATAGACGGCAGCGCGGAAGTAGCCAAGGTGGAATAAGAGCTGCAGAAGGGAATTCAGGTAACACGTACACCCCTCATTGATAAGACCTGACGAGGGAAAGGGCACATTAGCCACGGCTTCTTGGGCCAATCTTGCTTCCACGCTATTCCCAACATCAAAAATAACCGAGTTGTTGTTTCCACCTTGTTGTTCAACCGGCCAAAGGGCAGTCTCCATGTCCTGGCCCGACTCCAATGAAGTTGACGGCGGAATGGTGCCAGGGGAGGAAACATCTGTCGACGTGCAAGATCCACCAGTCCTCTCCTCAATCCCAATGGGTGGTGCCATGAATTTATCGTTGGGATCATTCATCGTTATTTACGTCCACCTCGGCGCGTTGGATTTCTCTCTCTCTCTCTCGTGTGAGTGTGTGCACCTCCTCGCGGCACTCCACACGTAATGCACCAAAATATATAATTCTGAGTTATGTGCAACGCTTATGACCAAATAAATATATTTGTATATGGCTGTGTGACTGAGTGAGTGGGTGGTTGGGATATGTGTGTACAAAGCGCGTGGGTTTAATTGCAGGATGTACGAGTGTTCACCGTTCAAAGTTGGAACGCTAATTTACAAACAAGACGATGGACAACTAAGAAGAAACAAACAAACAAACAAAAAGAAAAGTACTCCACCCCCTTTTCCCCCTCAGAAATGCAAAAAAAAAAAAAAGAAAAATGCCAAGAAACAAAAGAAATGAGTAACAAATACATGCACAGAGGCAGGGGATAAAGTAAATGGACACACACAGAGAGAAATAGAGGAGAGAAAAAGAAAAAAAAAAGGTGGGGGAGAGAGACAGGCACAATTGAGTGCTTCTCTCATTCTCCTTCTGTTGCTCCCTCTCCTCCCTCCCCATTTAATCACACATAAGCAAAAAACAACAACCAAAATTATCTTTTGTTCGCTTCCATTTTCTTTCGTTTACTTATTATTATTATTATTATTTTGTGACGTCATCATCTCGGCCGTCCTCATAACATCATTACACGTTCTTTTCTTTTTTTTTTCTTTTAGTGTGTGTGTGTGTGTTTGTTTTGTATTGCTTTTTTTTTTTTTTTTGAGTCTATTTCAGTGCAGCAGTCCGCGCCTCCCCATGTAGACATAGATGAGAAGGCACATTCCCAGGCAGGCAATCCAAAAGTAGTAGTAGCCGTAGTCCCACCTAAACTCCGGGATGCGTGTAAAGTTCATCCCATACACGGCCGCAAGGAATGAACATGGCGTAAAGAAAACGGAGAATTTTGTCAGGACAGCCATCAATTCGTTGGAGCGGAATGACTGAAGGGAAATGTGTAGGTTCAGGAGCGTCTTTGCCTCGTCACGAATCTCCAAAGATTGATTAATAAGTTCAATGCAATGCACACACATCTGATTCGCATGCTCCTTGCTACATAGACGGAGTTTGGTAAAGCTTTCTGCAAGCACAGTCTGTGTGATGCTGAGTGTACGATACTGAGCATTCGTGCGGCAATGCAAGTGGTAGAGAAACATGTTCATGACACTCTTATCCACAGGCTTTGTGCTCTTGTGGTCAAGTAGCTGCGTTAGAAATGAAGAATGGGAACTGTTTGCAAAGTATGAAAGAACTTTCCGATCCGAGAGTTGGTCCTGCCGATGCTCCTCCTCGCGGGAAGCCTTGCACAACCCAACGCACCCGGAAAAGAAAAGTTTCGACTCGCACAAATCCAAAAGATTTGCGTGAGCCTCTAAAGAGCTCTCATATGTGTTCACCGCGTCGTGGAAGAGTTTAAAGAGAAATTCCTGAAACGCAATGTTGCTGCCTTTCATCACAGAACTCCATTGATTTCGCATATTCGCCAGACATGCACAGTCCATGTGGTGAATAGTGATGACAAGCTTCTGGCTCAGGTCCACTACAATGATCCAGCGGTTCGTGAGCTCCAGCACGCTGTCGGAGTCCAGAGCAATCTGCGGGGTGGCAACACGCAGGCAAACAAGAAATTGCGTGGGCACCTTCGGTGAGGCGCAGATTTGTGGCATTACAATGCTATGATCCCGATCTATCAAAAAGGACTCACAAATGTTAAACCGTTTGGTAAGAAAACGAAGGGCGCTCTTGTACTTCCGCAGCGAGGCGTCACGGCCCACCATGTCAATCCAGTACCAGTTCAGACACATCTCCAAATTCGAATTTGCCGAATTGCTCGATGTTGTCAACTCCTCCCCTGCCTTCCATTCCTGCCCCATCACAACCGTCAAATCCACCCCTGATTCTCTTGTGTCCATAGGCGCGGCCCCACGCTTCCTCAAAAAGTACGGAGGACGTAACTCTTCCTCGCGTAGCATGACATCACTAAACCGGTCGCCACTGGCGCCAAGGCAATTGAAGTATTCAACGCGTACCTCCTGGCTTGACCGCAGCGGCACACGCAATCGTCCCTGTGGCAGCGGTAAACTCATCCTCTGGATTTTCCACTGCGAATGAAATGTGCCGTACCGTCGTTGCTGGACAGTTGGTGAGGATGACTGCATCGTCTCCCATGCTGGGACGGCCCCTAGTACCGACGGCTGTTCCTTCTCATCCCCCGCAGAAAGAAATGGAACAACGGACGTCTCCACGCCAGTAGCACCATTTGTGGTAGCGATCGTGTTGTCCGTGTCACTTTCAGAGATGAGTAAATGCCATACTTGGGCACGTGGGGCAATCATAAAGTCCGTCGATTTGCTGCTACCACTGCTGCTAGTACTACTGCTGCTGCTAGTACTACTACTACTACTACTACTACTACTAATGGTGTTGTTGTTTTTGTTTTTGCTGCTGCTGCTGTGGCTTTTACCCCGTTCATCATGTTTCGTGGAGGCGCCGCTGAAACGCGAGTCCTTGCTGCCTCTACCACGTCTTCGACGATGATGCGGCCTCTCCGAAAAATATGACACCCGCGAGCTCGCTTCGCTGAGAAGCGGGCCATCCAAACGAAGAAGACGGGCCTTTGCGCTTCGGAACTCCTCCTCGCTGAGGGCACCGCTCTGAAACAACTCATGAAATTGTTGGATGCTCTTCACCACCTCCAGCGCGGAGCCGGGCTCCCTCAACGAGAGCTCCGCCTCGTCCTGCGTGTCAATGGGCTCCAATTGCTGCGCCTCACGCACAGACACATCCTGTCCGCTCATTTAATCCAAAACAAAACAAAACAAATAATAATAAAAAAAAAACAACACGCCCCCCACCCCCCGCCTTTTATTATTTTTTATTTTATTTTTATTTTGTCGTCCTTCCTCCCTTCTCCCTGCGGCCTATTCATATATAAATATGATTTGGAAAAGAAACAACAACAACAACAACAAATAAACAAGTCAAATAAAATAAAATAAAATAAAATAAATAAGCCAAAATAAAATATATGAATATTATAATGCGTGGATGTATTTACTCGCCTTTGCTCTCTTCTTGCTGCCCTTACAGTTTGTTTGGATGATGGCCAAAACGTTAATCACAACAATAAACACAACAAAAACAAAAACAACAAAAAAAAAAGGTAAAAAGAGGGAGAGAAAAAAAAAAAAAAAAAGAAAAAAAGAACAAAAACAGAACATACATTACATTACATTACATACAAATTCATATTCATATATCTGCATACAAAACCCCCAGTCAAATCAACTTTAAAGGAACAAAAACAACAAAAAAGACAGAAGTCTATGAGACGCGCAGAAACAAACAAAACACACAAACAAACAAAAAAAAGTAAAAAAAAAAAAAAAAAAAGAGGGTCCATACATACATAAATACGCACAGACACATGTGAAAAACAAGCCTAAAATAAAAGCCCTCCCTCCTCTTGACACACGCTTCGCACAACTCCCCCTCCCCTCCCTCCTCCCCATTTCCACAGGGAGCCCTTGCAGCGTTGTGCTTGTGGAGAAGATGGTAATCATCCGTGTTTCCCATGGCATCTTACGTAAAGTATACTCTCATTTTATTTTATTCTTTTTTTTTTCTTTTTCTTTTTTTTTCTTTAAATTTTTTATTTATTTATTTATTTTTTTTTTCTTTGGCTTTAATGTAAAGAAACGCATTTCGCATCCCCAAACCCACCCACCCGAATATCCTCCTCGTTTCCTTCTTTTTTTTTTTTTTTTTCCTTTTTTCCTCCTGTGAGGGGAGCGCTGTTTATTCTCCTCTTTATTGCAGGTGGTGGTGGCGGTGGGAGAAAATTCCCCTCTCGCTCTCGCTGCCACCCCCCCCCCCCCTGCAATTCCCCTTCAACGCTGCCTCGCTTTCCAATGGGACACGCGACACGCTCAGTGCCTCTAAAAAGAAAGAAAAATAAAAAGAAAATAAAAAGAATAAAAAAAAGTATGTATGCATGTTGATTACGTCTGCACACAAAAATGTGCGCTCGGACGTGCATGCAGACTCCTTTTAGCCACTTTTTTTTTTTCTTTCCCCCTCCCTTCTCCGCTGCGAGCGAAACAATAATCCCCCCCCTCTCCCTCCGTGGTTTTCTCTTCTAAGACTCACTTCACTTTTTTCTTAGTTTTATTATTGTTGTTGTTATTATTATTTTCTTTCCGCTTTTAAAATACTTTTGTGTTCCCCCGCCCCCTCTTTTCTTTTTGTCTTTTCTTTTCGGTCCTTTTGTTCCGCCACGCGTTCGCAGAGGAAAAGTGACGGGGGCGGGGGAAGGGGGATGACAAAAACGAATTCCACACCGTCGTCGCAATGAGTGTGTTTTTGTGTGCACCCGCCCCCTTTTCAAAACCACTTTTTTTTTTTTTTTTTTGGTGTTTGGTTTCTTCTCTACTGTTCGGTTTCCTCAATTTTATTTTTTATTTATTTATTTTCTCTACTTTTATTATTATTTTTATTTATTTATTTTTTTGAAGGGTCATTTCTTTCAGTGGACGACGAGAAGGAGGAGGAGGAAAAGGGGGGCGCGGGGAAACCAAAAACAAACAAAAAAAAAGGAACAAACAAAAAAAGGAAAAAAGTACAAAATCAAACAAACAAACAAACAAACAACCGCGGAAAAAGAACGAAATGGATGATTCAAATGAAAAAGAAAAAAAAAAAAAAAAAAGAGAAAAGAAAAAAGGGAGATAAGAGCGGCATTTTCCCCTCACCGGCGCTGAATCGCGGGCCGGCGAACGACGCTGCTTGTGTTTGTGTTGTTATTGTTGTTGCTGTTCGTGCTGCTGCTGTTGTTGACGACGCTGCTGCTGCCGCTGCTGGGGACGTGGCGTGCCTGCAGTTGTACGGCCTGCGCGCCAATGTAGTGATGGGCACAGTCATCGCGCGACTCGAAGTATTTCTGCGCTCGCAGCCTTGTCTCATCGGAAATGATGCTATCGCCCAACTTCGCCATGACATGCGCGCCTGCCGAAAGCGGTCGCAAGGACTCGGTGGAGCCTTCCTTCAAGACAGCGTACAACTCCGCGACAAGAAGCAGCTCGCGTATCTCACGGTCCTGGCCGTCCACGACTAAACTCAGCAGGTCCAAGTTGTCCTCCAAGTACGCGGTGGTGTTGCTGCAGAGCTCCGCATGCAGGATGGCGCTAAAGATCTCAGGAGCCATTAGCGGGCAGCGCAGGTAGGATGAGGAGCGCACGGCATTAAACAGAGCCTCCTTCGAGGGTGTCCCCGTAATAAGTGCACAGAATACATGGATCTCCATACTCGCAAGACGAACATCGGGGAAGTTCACCACATTCAGCTCGTATTCCCTCTTACGGTGAGTGTTGTGTCGATGGACAACTTGCAGTGGGCGGTAACGCGTAAAGTTCGTGGTCTCATCGCTCGGTGTTCGCGGGCTACTAGAGGCGGCTTGCATATGCTTGGCTACATCGCGCAGGTATACCTTCACCGCCGCCGGATCGTTGACTAACAAATAATGCAGCGCCTCATTGAGCAGGTCTTCGTCTAGCACTTCCCGCACCGTATCACTCAAAATCATGGCTGCCCAGTACTTGAAAATGCCCAAATCTTCATGCAGCCTTTGGCACACCGCGTTGGCAAATGCGCTCATGGCAACCTTGCGCAGTTCCTGCTTCGACGTTCCCTTATGATAGCGGTTTAGGGAGGAAAGGAAGCCACCATACAACGAGCGATCCTTCACCGCCTTGACGACAGTCAAACAGCGCTCCGTCCAAACTCCCACAACGGCAATGTAATCTGCAAAGCTCTTCATTATTTCCTCCACCACTTCTTCCAAGCTGCGTGTGGCAAGTGTAACATTTTGCATGTGTTGCGCCACGTTTTCGGATGTGGCTAGTTGTTTCGTCAATTGGACACTGGAGTTTGTGAGGCAATTGCTCGAGGTAATTGACATGACGCTGCATTGGCGAGATGCGGCGCTCCGCGGGGCGGGGATGGGTTTACCACCCACAAACACTAAGTGCTTGCTCTTTACTGACATGTCATTCGTCATCGCCGATGCAGATCGACTTCCTGTGGAGTTAAAATAACTTTCTTCGTTGCGCGGACTAAGGGGTTGTGGCAGAATAACAGAACCATTTGTCAACCGTTTTCCATCCTGAACAGATTGCTGCACCTGTTGCGGATCGTCAGCAGTTTGCGTTGTCTGTTGCTGCTGTTGTTGTAGTTGTAGTTGCTCTTGTGACGCAGCAATGGCAGCGTTCCGCTCCTCCACCAACTTCTGTAGCCTCTCAACGGCAGACATCAGAAGGAACCTAATGCGCGACACCGGATGACGCAACGACCAATGCTGCAGGAAGTGGGTGCACTCCACCAACATGGATGATCCCAACGGGGTACGAAAGAAGGCCGCATCCACGATGCCTAGTAGCGTGATGGTCTCATCCATCTGTGACTCCGTCGGTGTGTAGGGTGGGGGGACACACAATCCTTCACGACCGTACAGCCCCGTGCAGGCTGTCACAAGAATGTTTCCAATCACCTTCTCTGTCACAATATGACGTAGGAAGAGTTCACCCACAAACCGCACAATGCCACAAACCCGATCCCGCCGCTCCTTAAAACTTTCTTCCGCACCTTGAGAGGCGCGGTCTTCCCCACCTCGCTCAGCCCGCTCTATGCTCTGCTCCTCCAACTGCTGAAACTCCATCTGGCAGCGATGAAGGAGCTGCTGCCGCATTCGGTACTCAAGACTTTGCTGCTTGTCGCCCACAATTCGTTGACCCCCCGGTACCTTGCATAGCGCAGAGACTAATTCAGCGTACAGGTTGGAGAAGTGTTGCTCACGCACCGCCTTTAGAAAAAAGACATCAACAATTTTTGCCAGCATCGCGTCATTGGCCTCGGGAATGGGTAGTCGCAGTAACTCGTTCTTAACCTCACGGTATTTTTCCGTGTCATTGGAGACACGGTTAAGGATGGAGATGACGAGGTGGTGTAGCTCCTTTCGCTCCACCTCGCCAAACAAGCCACGTTTCCGTCCAAGTGTGCTGGACACGGAAACAGGGGCATCTCGCCGATTTCCCCACAACTCCGACAATGCCTCAAGTTGACGCGCTGTGTGATACGCAGAGGAATTGGATTTCAACCTCGACACCGCAATCGGAGGAGCTGCGGGTATTTCAGGCACTGTCGTCGCTACAATCTCGCGAAGTTGCTCAAGGAATGCTGCCGTCCTCCCTGGACAGTATTCAACCACATGCTTCAGTCGTTTCATGGCCTCACGTGTTACGGTGACATCGTATGAAAGGCATGTAAATGAGGCAGTAAGTTTTTCCTTTGGGGGGTCGGAAACAATAGACGTTGGTTTATCCGTGACCGCTGTCGTTGTGGACATCTCACCTTCTACCGTTTCTCCTATTGCTCGCTCTGTGGAAGCAGCACAGGCTTCCATCTTCGTTTCACCTGATGAGACTGTCGTTGGTGGAGCTGGTGAGACACCTGGAAGCGAGGACGACAACTCCATTTGCTGCGGCTGCTGCTGCTGCTGCTGTGGATTGTCATCCCTATCGTCCTTCAGAACCGTCAGGGCGGCTTCACGTACCCCATCAACAGGCGCTCTTACGGCGGTCTCCAACAAAGAAATCACTCCGTAACGTTCAAAACTCTCACGTGCGGCGCACAATGCATCTACGAGTGATTGTGGAATACTACGCCTATGCGAGGCCCGCGTCAGGCTCCCTGGTACGGAGCTGGTGCGCCTGGGCTTCTCCACGCTGGCCGCTCTCAGTGGCTCCATTGGGGAAAAAAAAAAAAAACAATGCAAAGAAGAGGCGAGCAAGACACACAGGCAAGAAAGACGGAGGAAAGATATATATATATATATATATGTATATAAAATAAAATAAAACAGACAAGGTGTGCACGTTGATTGCTGGCAGCAAAAATACACCCTTCTTCTTCTTTTTTTTTTTTTTTTGATTTCCCTCCCTTTTTGTTTGTTGTTATTATTACCTGTGCGGTGTGTGAGTTTGTGTCTTTCTCCCTTCCTGATAGTTAACTAAGTTGTTTACCTTGATTGAAGCTGTTCACTCTATGCCCCCCAAAAAAAAAAGAAAAAGAAAGTCATAAGAAGACGTACTGAAGTAGAGACATTGGCCACAACCCACCCCAGGGAAGCGCAGTAAGTGGGCCATACACAGAGAGACATGTACACAGACACATACAGGGACAGAATGGGAGAAAAAAAAAAAAAGATCGTTTTCTGTACATCAGAAACACCATTGTGTTTACACATGCTGCTCCACACCGCACCCTCTTCGTTTCTCCACTCTTTGCCCACCAACAGACGTATATCATGCTCCGTCGCTCATTCCTTCCCTCCGCAGAAACACACACAAACACACGGAGAGACAAACAGTCATGGATGCACTTCAAAAACAACGTCGCAGCACGGCAGACGGGCCAGACTCCTCGTAATCCAACTTCGTCACCCAGAACTCCTGAAAAGTCGGAAGTGACGCCAAAATGGAGCCTCCCACAAAGGCGGCATGACGACGCTCGGTGCGGGCAGTAACATGAAAGGTATGAGGCATAAACGTATTGAGTTCACTGTCCAAACGCTCAGGGAACCCACGTATCATGGAACATCCACCGGAAAGATGAATCGACCGTTCTAGTAGAGGCGAAATATCACGGTCACATACGTTCAAAGACCCTAAAATGAGCCTGGGGAGACCGTGAGGCTCTGTGGATGTACGGAGCCGCTCCACATTATCAATGAAAAACTGATCACCGCTGAGTACATCGCTTGACACAAGAGAAGGATCAATCAGCATTTCTGCCGGTACAAAACGATTTGAGTCAAGCGTGATGATTGTACCATCCGGTAGCCGATGCCGCACCGCGTACTTACTTGTGATACCGTCACTATTACCGCTAGAAATAGCGACTTTGTTTGCCGCCTCCTCCTCTCGCGCTTGGCGAAACACGGCACCCTCCGGGCAGGTCTCGCAGTACTTTTCCTTCAAATGGGACCAAACATCTATGCGGTGATTCGGATGCACCATCGCTGGCAACTCAGGCCCGGTGGACATCATTTGACGCGTGCATAAATCTCCACCGACATTAAGCATGTGTGTCGCGTGAAACAACGGGTAGCCCTGGAAGACAGGGACGACATGACATGCGTTGTAGCCCATCTCTACAGACGTGCCGGAGCAGATACCGGCGGCGTACAGCGCAAGAACAGGACTCTGGGCAAAATGAACGGCTGTCACCCCGTGTTTTTCCATGAGAATTTCCGCCAGTTTCTGCCTTTGCGTGCGGGGAACAAGCATCTTCTCGGTCAGTAGCAGCGGGGTTTGCACCTCCTTGGAGCTCAGCTGCAGCAGCTCATCCAGGTAAGAAAGCAGCTGCTCCATGGCTTCCCAGTCCACCTCGCCCTTCTCTATGACGCGGGAGACCTCCGTCGTCGCACGACAGTTATAAGCCTTTTTAAGGCAAAGTGAAGAGGACTCTTTTCCGGTGCCTTTCACGACACATGTGGGCTCGTCAACGCGGGGTTTGTCATCTCCGGCAAATCCAATCCGTGTGGTGTAGCTCCCAATGTCCACAATGGCTGCCTGGCGATGCACCACGGCAACTTCATCGGGGAGAGGAATATTTGAAAGTATTTTCGCGGTTCCCTCCGCAATCCGCATCTCCTTTGATAAAAGAAAAAAAAAAAAAAAAAAAGAAAGGAGATAATGTCACTATATGTATCCCTTTGTGTGTATTCAATTATTTTTCACGTACAGCGCCGATGAACCACCCGAAATGGCAGTGCTGCTGGATGATTCCTATTCCCCCCCTTCTCCCCCAGACACATACAAAAAAAAAAAAAAAAAAAAAGGAAATATATATTTACGTCCATACACGCTCATACATGCATATACACAACTTCATATTTCCCTCCCTTTTATTCTTCTTCTTCTTCTCCAGAATTCCACATTTCTCCGTGACATTTCATATAATACATTTCTGTTTATTTTCATTCTGTCTTGCTTAAAGTTTAATGCTCTTCTCCACTCCTCATGTTTCTTCCGTCATGTCAGGCCAGAAAGCAACAACAACAAAATATACCCCTGCCACACTATCGGTGGCACAGCGTGTTTGCCGTAAGAATCTCGTCCTTTAAAAAGTAACAGAAATCCCGCTTCATGACACTCATGTAGTCCCGCTCCAGCGGTGGCAGCGGCTCCACGTGCGGGTGAGAGCGCTGCATTTGTGAGAAGTTATAACTCTTCGACGACATGCCCAACGCCGTGTTTAGTGCATCCTGAACAAACATTGACTTTGAGATGGCGAGAGGGTCCCCATTCGAGTCCCACTCGCGTTGCGTTTCATTCATCTTCGGCCTCGTTGGGGCGTCTGCATCCCACTCACGCAGCATGTACAACTCAAATTGCTCATCCAGCGGGAACTGCGGACTGACGGCGGAAAAGAAGGCAAAAAACTCCTCGAGTCTCACACCGCCAGCCGCATGTGCCTCGGCAGAAGCAGCGGCAGTGCCCTCGACATCCCCCTGGACGCATGGTGGGGAGGCAAACGTGTCGCTGAGATCCCCCCGTGTCCCGCTGAGAGCGTAACGTTCGTGCAGCTCATCGCGCGACACTTCTCCCTGCTCGTTCTTCGGCAGCACCTCCCAGGCGCGCAGGACGGCCTTGTGACGTCGAGTGTTCAAACCCGTGAGGTGGCGCACAAACCTGTCGGATGTGATGTAGCCGTCCTGGTCGTCGTCAAACGCGGCGCACAAGTACTCCGTCTCCCCTTCGCGAAACCGCATGCCAAAATCCCGCAGAAGATCAATAAAAAGTTTGTGCGTCACGCCCTTCTCACCACGCGCCCGCTGCTCCTCCTCCAGCTCAAAGAACTGTCGCAGTGCCTCAACGACCGACTTTGGGCCGCCCCCACGACGCACGGCGCACTTCACACGCAAAAACACGCAATCCTCGCGAGGGTTGTTCGTGTCACTCCACAGCATCGCCGCCACTGCACTACAAAAGCGAAACAACAACAACAACAAAAAAAAAAACAGAGAAACAGCAGCCTCGTGAAAGGCGCACACAAAACATAAAGCTACACCAAAACGCAAAGGAACGTGGAGAAGCATGCAAGTGAATTATTGGCCGAAACGCCGCAAAAACAAACAAACAAACCAAAAAGCGGCAGACACGTACGCCTTCCCACAAACACACATACATACAATTATGAAAATAAAAACTGTTATTCCCGAGCAAAAAGAAGCGACTGTGAAAAATAAACCACCCGAATACTCCTCTCCCCACTCAAAAAGAAAAAGAAAAAGAAAAAATAATAAAAAACATCATAATCAAAATAAAAAAAAATTTCATGTTATGTAATGCAGACCAACCTTTCTTCAAAGGGAGCGTGATACCTGGACCACTGCTTCTGATACCGTGCCGCACGTGGATCCTTCAGCAGGTTTATTGTCGTATCTGTTGCGTCATCACTGTTGTTGTGCCAAAAGGCAACAAACTCCTCAATTAAGGCACAGAGCAAAGTGGAATTTTCGTCCTCCGCGCTTCTCAGAATCTCGGAGTACTCATCCTCCCCATGACTACAAGTGTCAGGGAAGCCACTGGAGCCACCGCACGAGAGCACATCATCCATCTCTTCTTCCAGTCCCCATGGTTTCAGGCCGGAAAAAAAAGGCGCCACCAAAGCTCCACGACCACTGAAAAATTCATCCGCAATGAAGGACGCACAAGTGTCGTCTACCAGCAGTGAGGTGGCGGGAAAACCGGTCACCGCCAGCGGCTTCTTTCGCTCCTCGGGGCCGCAACAGTGTGTGCTGCCAAACTTGAAGGCTAACGGCACGGGCATCAGCGGCCGCAGAACCTGCTCGGCAATGGCATTTGCATATGAGGGTGTATTGCGTGTAAACAACCCCACCTGAACGGCCACGCGTGTGGTGCTGAGTTCCGCGCTCACCCGATGCAGAAATTCACCCAAGTGAGGGCGAGTTGTAATGATGTAATTCCGCATGTAACGTCCCCGCTCCGAATCATAATAACTGAGAGTGTGCTGAGGTGCAAAAACACCAGCACCACGTGCTGTCCAGGGACACTCAGCGGGAAAACGGCGGCACCCGGAGAGCAACGTGTTATCAATGTCAAATAGGAGACATACGAGGACCTTGCGGCCGCTGTAGCTCATCCTGTCCAGCGTCTTCACCGTCGCAGCCTTTTCCTGGAAAGAGCATGCCAAGTGTTGCAGCAGGCAACAAGAAAAAAAAAAATGCAAAAAAAACCAAAACCAAAAAGTTATAAGTCATACGTGATAAAATGCCGCATCAACACCCTTCGCAAGAATGGGAGAATTTCCCCCCTCACCAAAAAAACGACAATGAATATATGAATATATATGCAGAGAAGTATTACCTTCCAGCACTCACTGCCACTAAGTTATTGACTTCTCTCACTCAACATGCATTCATCTCTCCACATCCGTCAATTCTTCAAAATCATCGGAGTAGTACGTCTGCATCTCTTCTCCCACCCACTCACCCTGCGCCACCTCCTCCACATTCCTTTGCTGATGCAGTGTCTCAGCATCCGACAGCCACAGCAGCACGCCCTTCTCTGCAGGCAAAGTCTCAAAGGATTCCAACTGTAGGGATTCTAAGGCAGCCATAAGCGCTTCCCTTTTTTTGATCTCTAATTCAGTTAAAGCCAAAGGAGATGTTTCCATTCGCCGCGTTGCTCCCCGCTTCCCCTTTTTCTTCTTCCTTTCGCCATGCCGTTGGTGTCTTGGACGCCGCTCCCTGTGTGGCGGTTGCTCCTCGATCTGCATGATGCGCTCCTCCATTTCTTTGCTAAACAGAGGGATCGTGGATGAATCCAAGTCGTGTGGGCCGGAGCCTCTGAGGGTATTCGTCGGCGGCCCACACACCGACACATTATTCTCGAGCGTGTGCAGGAGTTCCTGCGTGTCAGAATTGAGCTCATGAAACAAATGGGGCTCCACGTGGTTAATTAACCCCCGAACTTCACTAAGAAGAGCGTCGCGGTATTGTTTCTCTTGCCGCAGAGCCGACACACGCCGCTCCTGCTCTTCAATTCCGCGCCGCAGTTGTTCCACGTACATACCCGCGTGCTAAAAGGCACAAACACACACACAAAAAGAAAGTGGCAAAATCCCACAAGAATGAAGACACGAAATTAACAGCGACGGATGTCAATTTAGACGCCAATGAGAAGAAATCTCCTCCTCAAATAATAATAATAAAACCAAAAGGAACAAATTAACTTAAATGAGATGTTGCGTCACAGAAGAGAAGTGGAGCTACCAAAAAAAAAAGAAAAAAAAAAGAGAAAAAAACAACAAACAACAAACAACAACCCTAAAAAGAGGTCACCGCACATCATTCCTCTGCCCTTCTAAAAGCAGTCACCTGCTTGTTGCTGTTTTTTTTCTTTTTCTTCTTCTTTTTGTTCTTCTTGTGTGCATATCTCTTAAATATTACGTCGCCTCACAACTCCTGCCAATTCAATCGGCACAAGACGCGCCCTCCTCTCCCGTCCCTACGCTCATCCCACCCCATCACCCCCACCAATAAATGTGACAACAACAACAACAACAACAAAAAGAAAAGAAAAACGGCCTCCATGTCATTTCGCCATGAACAGCAAATATTGCAAGAGCGGCCGACATCGCAAGTGGTGACCGTCTTTAAAAACTACAAGCATCTCTTCCGCTGTCGCACAGCGTTCAACCAATGGAGCGCGGTAAACAAAGAGACTTGCCGCCAGCAAAGGCAAAAGCCACAGGGCAGAAGGTGCAAAGGAAGACACCTCCTTTTCCTCTCCCTCCATTTCTTTCTTCTTCTTCTCCACCCCACTTTCCACACCCTCTCGAATGTGCACAGACAGTGACGTACGTCCAGCAAATATTTCTTCAATGTGATAGGACAAAATAAGGTCCCAAAAGGCCAGAAGTTCCGCTGGCTCAAGCACCTCCACAAATGCGGTGATCATCCATTGAATCGCCAAACGTAACGGTGGGAGACCAAGCGTGCGTGTAGCATGGAGACACGCTGGAGCTGCAAAGCGAGCTATCAACGCCTCAAAAATCCAGCAACACTGCGCCAGTTCAGGCGTGGGGCCCTGAATACGACCCCAGAGTTGTCCAAAAAGCGATGAAACGAGTTCGTACTGCTCCACCGTATCGCCGGTGATGTAACACACCGGTGCGACAAGTAGTGAAAAGCAACGAACGGGGAAAAAACCCGAGGGCGGTGGCCTTCGCTGCCGTGGCCCAGTTTCCTCATTATTTTCCTCTAGAAATACCAAATAAGACTCAATCTGTTCAGACGAGCGACCCATCAGACGCAACGTGTTTTTCATATGCATCTCTGGCAAACTCCTATCCATGAGGAGAGAGACGACGAGTACCTCCGTCTCGTCCGAGAAGATGAAATATTTATCGCTGTTACCCACAGATTGCAAATTATCCACCTTAACAATGGCCTGAATCACCTTAGCCGTTGTCTCCTGCTCCTTCGTGGCGTAACTATGGTAAATGCGACGTCTAACCTTGTCGCGGCCATTTTTCGTGGCGAAGGTCAAGAATCTTTCCACGCCATCGCAATGCCGATTCACCTGAAGTTCCCCACGACCCCCAAAGAGTGAACTCCCATCTGTGACGATAATTGAAAGCTGTAGCGCACGTGCGTACAACAAGCGACGCAAAGAGGGGCTTACTCTACCGCGCAACGCCTTCGCCACCGCTCCTGGGGAATCAGCAAACTGTAAAAACGTATTAATGTTCTCTTCGGCATCATGCGCTGAAATTTCTGTATGGCTAATGGTCTTTGGGCATCCGTTTGAGGGATGAAGCGCTGCAAAGGACCGACGAAGTATCGTGAGACTTGGGGCAAGCTCCTCATGTCGTGCCAATAATTCTTGGATGGGCGCCCGAAACACCGTCAGCAGTCCAAAGGAGTCAATACTGTCATGACAAAGTGAGACATCACCGCCAAATAAGCGCGAGGTCAGTAATTCCTCCGTGGCCGTGCTGTTGAGACCAGTCACCAAAGTTTTGTAAAGTTGCGCCACGGACCACTCCACATCGTCTCCCTCATTGCCGTCACGCCTCGCTGGCAATGCCGCACCGGCTGAGTAGCGTACCTCTCGTTTCAATTCGTTCACACGTAAGGACAATGCTTCCCTCCATTCCTCCCTCGACTCAGCAAGGAGGGAGTGCAACAAGGTACAAAGCGGACACGATGATTCACTATGTTGCTTCGCCGCATCTTCATCGTCCTTCTGAAGTTGGCGATGTATCTCTCGATCACGACGCTCCAAAAGAACAAAGCGTCTGGAGTTCCACTCGGAGTTCTGTTTGTTGATCATCACCGAAAGAAAACCTCGCATTTCATCAACAGAGGGAGGCTGCAGTGCCTCTTGGCCCAAAACTTTGCTGGTGTTCCCGGAATTACTGGCTTCATTCACATTGGGCATCCAATCAAACTTTGGGATTGGCGCCGTCGCTTCCAGCCCCCGCTGTGCAAAATGCAAGGTGGCGTCGGTCTCTGGCTCAAGCTTCTGAGAGGATGCGCCACCTCGTTTCTCCGCGCCCGCCGGATTCAGCCACCGAGGCAAGGTCGGTGTTGGCGTCGCTGAGGGCAGATGTCGCGGTTTGCCTCGCTGCGAAGGACGAGCATCCGGCACAGGAGTTGCCCTCGTGGTCTGAGGCTTTGCCCACGGCATGCTGGCGGCTCTACCCTGCGAAGAGGTTCAAACATGCAAAGAGAGAGAGAGAGAGAGAGAGAGAGAGACAGACGGGATTGAACGGGCAGCCCCCACGTAGAAAAAAAAAAAAGAAAAAAAAGAAAGGAATCCACAGAAAAAACAATAAAAATGGGCCCGCCTGAAACCCAGCAACGGTGACACCAAACACCTAAAGAGAAGACTCCTTCTCCTTATTCCATCCTTCAAGTTTCCACGCTGCAAAAAAAAAAAAAAAAAACAGCATCAAACAGCAGAGACACAAACGCCCCTTCTTTATTTTGTGCTCATTTCGGATTTCTTTTTCTTTTTTCGTTGCTTCATTTCTGACGCGTAAGACGCTCCGCCTCAGCCAACATGTCGCGTAAAGTTTCCAGCAGATCTTCAGCCTGACCGGAAGTGCACGCAACTCTCGCCAGCACCTCTTTCCCCTCTTTGGTAGGAAGCCGAGTTGCACAGCTATTTCCAGTAAACACAAAATCAAACACAGGCGCTGAAGGCGTGATGGGCGTCCCGGTGCGATCGCCCAATTCATGTGACAAGGACCATGAGACACCGGTTAACTGAGGTAGAAATGATTGCCGCATTCCTCCTATAATGCCAAGGCGAAAAAGACCTTCTAGCGCGGCATCAAATGCATCCGAAAGAACAATAGCCTTCTGATATTGTAGGTGAAGTGGTCCGAGTGCCTCACGAAATGTCTTCCCATCACATTGACAGCGCACCGCCTCAGCATAGAGGGCTGCAACACCGTCCAGTGTGGGTGCCGATACCACTGTATTATCAGGGCTCGGCTTGCTCTCTTTGGGTCCACGACCCGCAACCCCGTCGGCCTCGTTGTGGGGGCGTTGAAGTTCGCAAAGCACCCACTCCGCCGCACGCTCCACATCTTCCAGAGCGGCCGCATTAATCGCCTGGATAAACACGGAAGCAACATGAATCATGGGAAACACGGTATCTAATGTTCCCTCGTATCTGCATCAACAATGGGAAACGGAACCAGAGTGAATTAAAGCCCCCCTTTTTCCCTCTTTAGAAAGAACAGCAAAAATAAAAACAAAATAAGAAGAAACAGCAAAATAATAATAATAATAATAATAATAATAATAATACACTTTAAAGCTTCACCACCGCGAATGCCAGTTATTTTGTTCTCCACACTCCCTAACACCCTATTTGCCTATTTACTGCAGTGGAAATTCTTGTTCATTTGTTATTGTTATTGCCAATATATATATTCTTTTCCCTTTCCTCCTCCCACACATCAGCCTCCTTTCAACTCTTGATTCATGTTGTACCAGCGACGAGGTTGACTCGGCCTCAGCTCGACCACAAGACTGTACCGCACCCTCTCACCCCTCTGGGCCCAATCCGATCGCACACGGTGCAGAACAGGAGGGAGAGCATAATTCGAAAGGACACGGGCCATATTACTACGGAGGACCAAAGTGTCGTCCTCCTCGGAGGGCGGACTGGGTGCTTCCCACCCGGGAAGCGCATTTATCCTGTCTTCTACCTCCGTCTCATCATATCTGTAGTCACCCGGGCGCTCTGGTTTTGACGGCAACTCTTCCTGCAGATTCAACTCTAACCCTGGTGCGGACGCTTGAAGGAGAGCGGTGCAAAGTCCAGGGTCATAGTGCGGCCGACAGCCGGTGCCCGGGCTGTAACGCCAGATGCGGAAGACAGAGCGCCGCCCAATGTCGTTGAGGAATTCATTGCGGGCAACTTCCGGTATGGAGGCATGCAGCAAAGTACGATGCGCAAACTCCATCGCAGCTGTTTCGAGGCCTCGACACACGTGCAAAAGAGGTGGTGGAACACGCCGCCGTGCTTCATCCGCATCTCGCAGACGGTGAAGCGTCACAGACAGCTCCGTCTTGGGCGGCAAAAAAACCGATGCGTTTTGCCGGTGGCTAACACAAAATGGGGGGAGCACGTGCTCAAAAAGTTTAGACTCCTCCAATGCGGCATACGCAGCGGATGCTTCATGGCGCGAAAAGAGCGCACAGAACGTGACCGACACAGACGTTCCCTTCAGTTTTTGTAATGGCCAATAAATAAAAATATGCTCAAATAATGCAGCTGCCCTTTTTTTTTTTTTAATCTCTCTCTGTTTACTTCCGCCGCATCTCACCTCAACTTTCGGATGCCGGGAATCAAGGCAGTGAGAGCAGCCAAAAGAAAAATACAATGGTCCATAGAGAGAAATTTACACACACACACACATACACGCACAAAAACACGCAAGATTTACCGGTAGAGGCAAACACACCGAAAACCACACGGAGAATCGGATGGGAGAAAAGTCTTTATATATAATTCTTTTGTTTCGTTTTTCTTTCGTGGACAACTTGGCAGACAACTTCTCTTCAAACCCGTACACATACACACACAAAGGATAAAGCGTGAAGAACAACAAATTTAGTCAAAAACGGAGTGAAACATATTGTTCTGCCGGCAAATATACGGGCCATACTCCTCGTATTGTTCCTTCGTCTTGGCCAATGTACTGAACTCTGGGCTCGACCCCAGCATGCTACCGCCGTACCACACAGCGTAACGTTGTCGGTCGTGCGACACAACGTTGACATCGTATGTGATCTGCCGATTAGGGTCTTTGGAGGCCTCCATGTTTTTCTTTGCACGTCGGTCAACAATGACGCGTAGATCCTTCTGCAGGCGTTTGTCAAACTTTGGGAACATTGTTGTTCCGCCTGAAAGCACAATGTTTCGGTAGAGCGGGCGTCGGCAGTCAATGGGGCACGACCACACTGCCCTGTCAACCACCTCCGGCAATGGCATGGTCCATTCGCCGCTAAATATCTCCGGATGAAAAAACACCTCGGGGCCCAAGAACTTTTCGTAGCCAACATCTACTGCATACGGCTGCCCTGTCTTGCTGTTCACGTCACAATGTTTGGTAATGTGGTCAGGAAGATTCCGGTCATACGTGTCAAACTCTCTGGCAATGTCGCGAGCTATATAACAGTACTGCTCCTTGATGCGCTGCGCCAGCAATAACGCATCATCTGGTGGCACCGGCTCACCTCGTTCCCGCAGTCGCTCAAGGATAAAGTTTGTAATATCGCGACCCGCAAGCGGGATGTGTTGAATGGCTTGGTTCAGCACAAAACCGTCCACGATAGGTATGACGTGTGTTACGCCTGCGCCCGAGTCAATCACGAGGCCGGTGTCTTTTCCGGCAACACCGAGTTCTTTTGCCTTCCCGGATGTCCACGACGCCCGTAATGCAAGGGCTCCTTGCACAGCAATATGCAGTTGCTTCACACCAAATGTTTCAAACATTACCTCTGCCGTGTACTCACGATTCTCCGGTGGGTTTGCCGGTGGTTCTGTGAGAATAAAGCCGTGCTCCTCCGGTTCCACACGGAGGTACTTGTAGATGCAGTGCTGCCAAATGCGTTCCATCTTGTCCCAGTCCTCTACAATGCCATGCTTGATAGGGTACGATAGCGTGCATGAGCTCGCACGCGCGGCGGCCTCTTCACCAATGTAAAAGTCAAGATCGTCAAAAACGTCGTTTGAGCGACGCCTCACCGTCTCATTGTCGGCGTAGAGGGAGGGGATAATGTACGTTGGCTCCTCGTTCCCAGCGTAGCCCATCTTGGTGTACCCAGTGCCATTGTCGATGACAACAACGGGGTACGACATCGGCCCGATTCGTCGTTTCTATTGTTGAAGACACACGCGCAATTTTTCCCTTTTTTATTTTACGACTAGTTAATTCGCTCCTCCTCTTGTAGAAAAGAACGGTATACAGACACACACACACAAAAAAAAAAAAAAAAAAAAAAAAAGGGAAGGAAACAGTAATTCATATGCACAAGAAAAATAATCTCCCCCCCAAAGTGACAGGCAAACACACAGAGAGAGAAAGAAAGAAAATGAAAAGAGAAATGTATATACGCATGCACGCAAGGAGCCCGTCACTCCGTCACATGTTTATTCCCCCTCGTGCTCCCAGGCGTAGTCCATAATCTTCACACTGGAATTCGTGAGGAACTGAATACGACAGATGACTTCAAAGGCACCGCGATTCATTTTGTGCGCAAGTTCTTCCACCGCCTCAATTTTGTCGCCGCCGGTGAGAATCCGATAAAGGTGGACTAATACCAGTTGGTCCTCCTCCGCGGTGAAGGGCCGATCTGTGCGGAAGGGACGGCCGGCCTTGTGATAATCGGTGCTACCACAAAAGGCACAAAGACCGTCCGTACATCGTGTACTACCAATTCCCACGCATGTGCCTCCCACACTCGCCACACCATCAATCAGGGCAATGTTGTCATGGCTGCGCCATGGAAACGCATCGGCTCTAAGTGAATCAAATGAAACATCAGCCCCACCAGCTCGGTATAATACACGTCGCTCGTAGTCCGCTTCCGTGTCTCGCAGACCCACTGGTGTTGGCATCCGCGCTGGGTCTAGTGGCCAGTTCTCCTCCTCCAGACTGTGTAGTACAATGTCGGCGTAGGCCTCTTGCGAGCGGTCAAACAATGTAAAACTGGCATCGCGTGTATATGCAAGAGACCAGAGAGAGACACGCGGCGAAAGTGGGGTGAGCTCAACACTTCGAGCAACGAGACCCTGGTCGTGTGCAACCACCACGATACGGAAGTCAAGCGTTGGATTACGTGCCACGAGGGCCGCTTCCACCTCCGGAATAAGCCGTATTTCCTCCATGGGGTCACGTGCCGATATTGTGCGGAAGAATGTCACCGGCATCTCTGGTGCATCGATTAATTTGTCCCATCGTTTCATCTTGCGGGTGAACTGCGCCTGAATCTTCGGATCGTTCAGGTCAAAGTGGGCAAAGGCGGTGTGCTGGCCGCGGTAGAGCACCCATATACCAACACACTCCGGGCGATAAGGCGGTAGACCGGGCGGATAAAAGCCGTGCGCAAAACCCTCACGGATGAAGTGCAAAATGCCATCTAGCGTGCAACGACTAAAGTCAAACGGATACGCCTCGGTGCGCAGGCCCAGCTTGCCCAAAATAAGCGCGGGGCCACACCACCCGCCCATGGAGACGTATTTGCGCGGCATCTGCATCCCGGCAAAGCTGACATCCCGCAAGATGGACGAAGAACGCAGCATCCGAACTCTTCCTCTTTCTCTTCTTCTTCTTCTTCTTCCAAAAGCAACAATTTCTGGACCCTGTGCAGAAACCGCGAGAGCCCTCCGCTTTCTCCTTTTTCAGCCCTAACCCAAACGGCCAGTCCCCTGTCAGAGGCAGTCCTCTCTCACGCCCCTCGACTTCTCATCGTACAAGAAGCACAGGAATGGATCCAAAGGAAAAGGGGAAAACAAGAAAACACAAATGAAAAAAAAAAAAAAAAAGAAAAAAAAAAGAAAAGAAAACCACAAGCCGCATTGCACTTCGGTCCATGTATGCACAATTGCCGAATAAAATATATGATAGGTGAGTTGGGCATAAAAGTGAGAAAACAGAAGTGCGTAAAAGAAGAAAATGCGCTGCGGAGTTGCCCTCTTCTCGTTTTCTTGCGTGTGTGTGTCTGTGTGTGTGTTTGCATCTCAACAAAAAGAAAAAAGAGATGACAGTTGGAGAAATGTACAGTCTCCCGGGCAATGTTGCAATGACATCGCCCTCCCGTCGTCGCATTTCTTCCATCTCCCCCACCCGCACAAACACACACACACACACACACAGAGGCAGTGTTCTCTTTCTCCCCAAGGCCGGCTTTATCACTCTCTTCTCACCCACCCATGCGAATGTGGGTATACGCGTCATGTATGCATGCAATTATTTTGGGTTTGACTCTTCGTTGCCCTTTCGTTTCTTCTCATCATTCAAGTTTTTATTGTAAACAAAACAGAAAAAAAACAAAAAAACTCAAGAGAAGGGCAATGATCACCACCTTCCCCGCCCTTTTTTTTTTCCTTCTTGGAGTTTATTGCGCGCGGGACGACAAAGCAAAAGAAGAGGAGAAGGGAAAAACAGAAAACAACAACGGCAGTAGACGCGTATGCAGGGGGGCGTAAGAAACACTCAGGCAGCCACCAGCCGTACTCTCTCCCTCCCATTCTTGGAATGTCATGCGTATTTTTCATTTTCCCTGTTTCTTACTTAATTTCCTACTTTCCTTCTTTTCTTTTTTGTCCGGTCGTTGTTTTCGGTTTTTGACAACCCCTTCTTATGCGTTTGTTAATTTCTTTCCCATTACGCTCTTTTTATTTCTTTCTTTTTTTTTTTCCCTTTCTTACTACCGTGACGGTTATGACGGGCGCGGATGGTTTCATGTTATCTTCGCTGTTGGAAGCCGTTATCGTTTAGGCGTGCCCGCTTGTACGGTGCGCCACCCCCGCCGTAGTTACTGTTATCTCCACCGTTCGGATGCGCGCGCTTCTGCTGCAGCCTCGCACCGCTGCCGCGTGCGTTACCGGAGTGCCCGTATGTTACACCCTCCTCAAACTGGCGTAGTCGTTCCTCCACTTTGCTGCGGTACTCCAGTGCCGGGGCGTTGTCGCCCTCACCAAATGAGTCAATGCGAGCACTAAGGGAAGTTTTCGCTGCCAGCACACGGGACATTGTCCCTTTATTCGGGGCAGCAGCCTTCGCCACAACCTGGGCGTTGTACAAGATACCGTACTTGGGTGTGGCCTGCCGCTGCTTTAAGGCGCGAAAGAGAGCCTTCTCGGCGCCGAGTATCTGCACCGTGGAAGAGGGGTACTTTGCCAGCGACAGGAGTGAGCCTGCCTTTTGAATCAGCCGGGCGCCAATCTGCTCGCCCACCATCGTGGTGAGGTTCGGGGCAATAGTTTGCATGCGGGAGCTAAGATAGGCCGAGAGCGTCTCGCGGTACTTTGAGGCCGCAACCACCTCGCTACAGAGACGACAAATGTTTTCAATGTCTTCTTCAGCAATCTCCGTGCCCATGGACACCATTGCTGCATCTTTCACCTTCTGCTCCAATTCTTCCTCCAAAAAGTCAGAAAAGTCAATGTCCCGGACATTAAAACGTGTCTTGGCGGCCAACACAATCTTTGCGTAAAGCAAATTGTCATTCACAATCTTCGCCAGCTCGGGAAAATGCCATCCGTACCACTCTCGGGCCCGCATCGCGTATTTGTTAATCTCCTTGTCAAGATCCTCGAGCAACGCCACAGCCTGCACCACCATCATGTCCACTTTGTCCGGAGAAAACTTCAGCTTGTAGCGATTCAAGTTGTGCGCCAAGCCGAGTGCCGTCTGGTTGAGCTGCTCCGCCGACACCTCCTGCAGCAGCGCATCGATGTTCGCTCGCAGCGCGCGGAATGTGGCAAGTGTTTCGTCACCGTGCACACAAGGGATGGCCAACGTCTCTTTGATTGCTTTTGCCAGCTTGGAGTCCGCGACGGCGAGCTCCTCCGTGATCTCCTTCTCCACCAAATTCTTCTTTAGGAATTTGCGCACCGGCTTTGAGAGCTCACCGTTCACAACCTGAGTCGTCGTCGCCAGCGCGTCGGCGGTGCTCTTGAACTGCAGCATCGCCTTCAGCCGCCGCCTCTCACCGTCCACCTTGAAGAGGGCGACACCAGCAGGGAGTTCCAGCAAGGCGTAAACCATCTTTAGTGTGTGATTCTTTCTTCGTGACCCGCAAAAGGCAACTTTGGGTTGAAATTCCCTCCTTTTCACTTCTCTTGCGCCGTCCCGAGAGGGTGGAGAATCAAAGGAGTAAGAAGAACGCAGCAGCAGCAACAAAAAGTAAATGCCTTCAATGCCATCCCCCTCCTCCAACACACAGAGACACATACAGAGGGAGAAAGTGAGAGGATGAGAGATATAGATATATATAGACAGATAGAGATGGGCAAATAAAATTAAAGAGGCCACATCGCATGCAAACGTTTATCGATAAAAAATCTGATGCATGGGCATGAAACGGAAGGTCCATCAGGCGCATGAAACAAAAACCTTTAAAACAAAAAAATAGGCGTACAAACAGAGAATGAAGGAGATGCATGCACGCACACATGCCTACTAAAAATCAATGTACAGACAGTGTGAAAAAGAGAGGAAACAGTCAACAACAAAAACAAAAAATAAATAAAAAATAAAAATGTACAGCTCAGCATCCATGTGATATGATCTGCGGGGTTGGTTAGTCATGCATGCATCGTAGTTCATCAAAACATTTATACAAATAACATGGTAAACAACGCAAATATTCACCTGAATGAGGCCTAGCTCCCCTCCTATTCCCAAAAAGAGACAAAACACAAAGAAGACCACAAGTTGTTTCAATGCACCCGACATCCCCCACAACTCGGAGGGGATTCAGACAACACTCAATACGCCCATCAACAAATAGGTGCAAAACACACCTGCTGCGATAACCGGGCATGCCGCAATATCACGAATTGGCATCCTTTCGCGCCCCACAACCGCCGGACTCCCCTGTGCAGAGGGCAATTGCGGTATTATTATTATTATTATTTATTATTATTATTTATTGGTAGTGGGTGGACAAAGAACTCACACCCTGCTGCCTTCCAACGTGCGGTATCGTCGGAAGCAACTCAATTTCCCAGTAAAGAAACAGCGGGGACCAAGAATGCAATATATCACCTTTCTTAGCCCATCCGGCCGCCTGTTTCTTTCACGTCTCTCTCTCTCTATATATACATATATATATAATACAAGAAGACGCGGGTCATGCGGCCAAAATAGCGCCCTTGGCGATACCAAAGCACATATCACGCAGGTCGCCCTCAAGGACATCTGCGACAATCTCCTGTACGCTAAGGATGAACGGTCGGAGTTCTTGCGTCACGCGGTTCTCAAGCGGAGCAATCATCGTTGACTTCAGTTTCTTCAGTGACGGCTGCACGTGTTCATCCCGAAAAAAATGTACCACTGTCTCGTACAGCAGCAGAGTGAGGGCCTCCTGCGCCATCGTACGACTGTCCGCCTCCAAAAAGCCACGAACTTCACGCAGCACGTCATCCCACGGCCGCCGAATTTTGTCACGCTCAAAGAGTGTCTCAAACGTAAAGATACCGTTTGCGATGATGCGGCGTGCTGGCATGACTACACTCTCCTGGATCACACGCCACTCAAACACCTGGTCATTGAACTTCTCCTTCATGGAGGCGATTGGTTTTTGCAGCTGCCAGAGACCTCGTTCCGCTTCGTAACACTCCCCAATGCAGTTGTACTGTGACGCAAGAAACATGTGGTCGCTGCTTGGCACGTAGCGTACTTTGCCTTGGGAGACACAGGCCTCGTATATCCTCGGCAACGCTGCATAGACCGCGCAAAGTTTTGGCGCAACGTTGGCTGCAAGTTTCTTCAACGGTGCCTCCACCCGCGTTGCTAAAAAGGATTTGGTCTCACCACTCATGTAATTATGCACTTCCTCACGAAGAGGTTCCTCAAAGGCGTTTAATTTGTTCATATTGTCCCGCACCTTCGCCTCCAACATCGCACGACGGCCGCACGTTTTCCCCTGTGTTGCATGCCATTTTCCCCATACAAAATTTTTCAATAATTCATCGGACTTTGCTATAAACAAACGCAGTTGCGACATGCGATCCCTCCAGGAACGACCTGACATTCCCAACAAAAGCTTTGGAACAATTTGAGCATCCACAAGCTCCGTAATGGCATCCTGCAGGATCGTCGTCTCCCCCCCACTGAACTCAAGCGAGTCTGGGAGTCCGCACATGACACGGGCGCGGCGAAGTGCCTCGACAAATGCCCGTTGATGAACTCTGTCGTTCGTTGTGACTCGATCCATCAGCCAATGGGCCCTTTTAAAGATGCCACACCATAAATCGTAGCGGTCCTTCTTGGGGAACTGAAGATAAACGGGGCAACGCCGTGGGTGATACAACTCCACTGTCATTTCGGGGTACTTTTCGGGTGCCGACACTTCTGTGCGGGCAACGGAGCAAATTGCGGCCAGTCGATCCAATCGCTCTTCTGTCGCGCGTGTGGCATCGCAGTTCACCACAACATTGCCCAAATTAATACTTCCCAACGGTTGTTTTTTCCCCGCATAATCCTCACGGGATGCGTAGTAGTCAAGAATAAAGTCCCCACGAAGAGTCAAGAAACGGGGTTTCCAGCGCTTCAAGTGCTTACTGAGCTTCGCTGCCATGACTTGCTCACGTTCGTTAATCTGCGTAGGGATATAAGGGGCGCGGTAAAGCTTCCACATGACTGTATCCTCATTTTTGTTCTCGGCCTCGTGCTGCATCGCCTTCCGTACGCGTTGAATCATAAACCGCATGTAGAGCTTCTCATATTCACGTCCAAAGGCATCAAGAAAGACGCTGGCGAGCTCCCGCGTGTCGCTCATCTCTCCACTGAAGGCGGAGCCCATTGCAACCAACAGCCGCAGCCACAAGAGGAGGCCCTCCAGCCGTCAACGATAAATATTATGCTTCCCTCTTCCTACTTTCCTTATTTCGTCTTCGGTTTTTTTTTTTTTTGGTGTCGTCGCCCTCACACACACGCACACACACGCCTTCTCTCCCGGTGCTGCCTGAGGTGCGCCAACCCACCCAAACTGCTCATGGCGAATACGATGCAAACAAACAAAACAAAAAAAAAGATTGCGGAAAGATAAAACACAACAGAGACGGCTCGGAAAAAAAGTCAAATGCAAATATGCCTACGTGCGCATAGAAGTGCACACACACAGACACACAAAACCGAAACCTAAGCACATTTGATAAGTCAAGGCTCCCCACGCATGGGGGGAAAGACAGCAACAGTAACAACAAGGATGCAAGACTTCATACGCCCAAAGTAAGCAAAAATAAAACTCCTCCTTTCAACCTTTTAGTTAATGCGTCTCAATTCCTCTTCTACAAGAAGTTAGATAACCCATTCTCAGTTTTTTATTAAACGCAGTGTGTGTGTTTTTGCCTTGTGACAGCAGCCACCGAGCTCCCTTTCCAAAGTTGCTGATGAAAGCATGAAAGGCAGAAGTTAATACAATAAGAAATGCGATAATATAAAAGCGATACGCCACATACTTGAAAGGAAATACGTGCATCAACTTTGGTGGCGGGTACAGCATGTAATTGACATTTAGACCACTAATGTATGAGTACGGTGTGTAGAATCCAATGTTGACCAGAGTCGCTAGCGCCGTTGCGTGCAGCAAGTGTGAACGAGTCATGGGCAATAAATCATAACGCACGGCAAAATAAAATGGCATGATGAACAGAAGCCCGTGATGCACCATAAAAAAATAGCTCTCGAATTTGTACTGATGATCTCCCCAATCAGGTGACGCCAATGCCGCTGTGGGTCCCCAATGGTAATCCGCGGCGAGGGTTGCTAAGTAGACATTCTCGGGGTATTGGCTCGGCCCAGTACGCAGCAGCACGGCAGCCCAGAGCAGTGTGAACAGGTGACAGGGCATCAGCATCCACCCAATTTGAACAAAAGGATGTGGACGAGAGATCTTCAACAGCACTTGACACGCCCAACACAAGAGAAAAAAAACTCCCAACAGTTTATTTAATAGGCTCTTGGTAGACTTGCCGCGGGAAATCCTGCAGGTGTACCTCCACGCCCGTGAACGGTAGCCCCAGGAGGCACGGAAGCAACACCAGACAAACACGTGCAGTACGACAAACTCAAACACATGCACCTTCGGTGGCCGAAACCAAAAGAGTTTCTCCGCGGCATTCGGTCCCCACGCCTGTCCGGTGTGGCGACAAACAGCCACCAGCCAGTCGGCCACCACTTGCGGCACAAGAGCATCCGCCACGGAGACAAGTGTGAGTGAGGCCATTCGCGGGCAACTCGTCCTAGTGAATAAGAGGACCTACGAAGGGACAATGCGGTAAGACTCATGAAAGCATCACCACGCCACCAAAAGGCAAATGAAAAAAAAAAAAAAAAGAAAGGAAAAAACGGCTCGTGATTTACGCCACATGCCAGAAATAAAAAAAAGTCACAAACACAAAAATGACGTAAACTAATAAATTTCCGACGACCACATTTGTCGCGTTTCTTCCATCTTTTTATTATTATTATTTATTTATTTTTTTTGTTTCCCCCTCCCCGGAGGGATGGCGTGACTTCATTGCCATGTTGACTGTCCTCTCAATGGCCTTTCGGGCCCTTGACGTCGTTGTCGCCGTCCGTCCCCTCCTCCTCCAGCGCGGCCAACTCCGCCTCAAGCCGGGCAATTTCATCATCCACAGTCATGCTCTCCCTCGACGAGCCCGCCTTCATACTGCCCTCATCATCACTCCACGCAGCAGCACCAGCCGCCGCTTCAAAACCGGTTGTCTCTGCCGTGCCTTCAGCATCACCCTCGGCAACAGCCGCCGACGATGGCGGCGACCGCCCGGCGTTCAGCTTCACATTCTCCTCCAGCGGGTAATACATATTATCCAGAGGTGAGAGTCTGTACCAGCTCTGCTCCCCACGCAAATAACGACGATAATCCTCCTCAATGTGCCAAAATCCCAACGCCTCAGCATTCTCTGTGGCATACAAGGCGCAGTCCTTACGATCCACGCGCAGGCATGCCTCTAAGAAAACAAGAAAGGTGTCCTTTGCAAAACGAATGTTATTCACGTTACGGCACTGGTTCAACAGCTGAAAGGCGTAACTGAGATCAAGAGGGCGTTCCACGAGATCAAGTGCAGTATGCAGATCATCCACTGTCGGGCGTTCGGTTCCCTGAAATGAATGGAATCGTTTATGCCACTCCAGCACGTACTTCTCAAGCGGCGTTTCCGGTCCATCCAGCCGGTCTTTTCGCAAAATGTGGCGCTTCTTGCTGAGCCAAAGTGGCTGATTCGCCATACACTTCGGCCGCGTGTACGGCCTGTCAAGTCCGCCTAGCCACGCCTGGTACAACATCTCAGTGCGTTGGTGATCCGGCTGTTGAATGACGGTGTAAATCTTCCAGTTGTCAACATCCTTCAAAAATAACATCCAATACGGGCGACGATACCGCAGCGATGCCAACGATGGCAGACTACCGTGCAGCATTCTTCCCACGCTGGCACACACACACACACACACTTACAAACACGGGGGGAAACAGGCCACAGAACCAAAAGCCTCCTCCTAACACCCGTTCTGCTTGTCCCCACGTCCCTTTTTCCTTCTCCGCTCCTTTGCTTTGACCCGCTCACAAGGAAAAAAAAAAAAAAAAGAGTGGCTGCAAAACAACACAACTCATTGGGCACTCAAACCCCCTCCAAAAAAACAAAACAAAACAAGGCGCAACTTTCACAAGTCACTCGAGAGTCCCAAGACCCCATTTTACTCTTCTCTTCTTCCTCATTGTTTACTTGCGTTTTGATTTCTCCTTCCTCTCATTGCATATTCCTTTGCTTCTGATGCCACCCCTCCCTCCTTCTCTCTCTCTCTCCGCCCACGGGGGCGTTTGTTCTTCCTGTTTTTTGTTGCACTTTTTTTATTGGAAGTGTCATCCCACAAATAATAAATAAAAAAAAAAGAAAGAAAGAAAGAATAAAAGAAAACAACAACAACAACAAGAAAGCAAACTTAAAACAACAACAACAACAACAAACAGGCCATTGCAACGAATACATACGAAAGGACAGACAGACAAACACAAACATTTATGGGTGGAAACACACAACAACTGTTGTTGTTCTTTTTTTCCTTTTCCTTCTTGTTGTTGTTGTCCCCTTTTGTGTCCATTTAGCAAATTGGCACGGTGACACCTTAGGATGATGTCTCAATGGCCAATAAACGTCTTCGCAGCGTCTCGGACGCCTTCCTAATAGCTTCTTCATATTCTCTGTAAGCGTCTAATTGTTGAAGATACTTTCTACGCATAATTAAATCGGAATCGGTGCCTGTTTTCAAGGTTTCGCCTTCTCTTGCACCACCGTCCGTACGACTATCATTACTACCACCAGTGTCCGCAAAAAACAGAGTTTCACTTGTGGCGTGTTCTCCTCGAGCTTCCAAAAGAGAGGAAACAATGCCTATAGAAGCTGCAGGTTCCCGCAGCTGCTCCCCAGTCTGATTTGAGGTTCCTGTCACACGCGATGCCGCATGAATCCTCGCATCGCAGTACCGTGCGTAAGCCCTTCGTATTTCCTCCTCTTCAGTTGGGTTTAACTGCTCGTAAGCGGAGTTTCTGAGGGTATCTGTCACGGCATTCCCCTCTCGTGTAAAGGAAGGAGGAACAGCGGACGATGTGGCGGCATTATTATTATTATTATTATTAATGTTGTTGTTGGTGTTCTCGTTGTTGCCCGCGTTTCGGCGACGATTGTGAAATATAATAAAATGTACGGACCTGTTCGCTTTCCGCATGTGCTGCAAAAGATCGGCCCTGCAGTATGGGCATGTCGACATCCCTTCAAACCACCGTCGTAAGCAGTGCTCATGGTAGCAATGACCACATGGAAGTTGTTTGCAGTTCTGTTCTGCCTTCATTTCGTCTTGGCAAATGGCGCAGCAGGAATCTCGTGCCAAAATATCTTCGGTCGCATTTTTCATGCCGTGCACAAACCTCGTCAGGGAGAGATATGTCACCAGGCTCTGGATCTTCTTGACGACATCGACAGCGCTGTTTATGAGAACCCGTAGTAGCGGGAATGGCGCCTGGGACACAATGCAAACATACGTGAATGAGACAATGAAGACAGAACTCTTAAGGAGGGAGAAGAACAGCTCGGCGTAAAAGGCAAGAGGGCCATGATCCGACTCCCCAATCACCTCCGTGAAGAGCAGCCGCACGAGAAAATTGATGTTGGAGATGGCAAACTGCAGGTACATAATGGCAGCGGAGTACTTGAGAGTTAAGTACTCATCTCGATCCCTGGCGGTGTTCACAAAGACATCAAACACAACGTAAAGATCGAGTGGCATGGCCAAGAGAAAGAAAAGCGTTAATCCACTCAACATGCGCAGCCGCTCCGCCGGAGATTCCACGACATGAAGTGTCGTCGTCCGCTCCCGTGCAACGCCGTGCAGAAGGGCCAACACCACCGTAAACAACGCGGCCACACCGAAGGGGCCAAGAACGGACACCCCAAAGTAGAAGGGCCCCACCACACACTCGGCGATGTACAGCGGGACGGAGTTGCGCAACAACTCGGTTTCGGTGTGGTTCAACTTGCCAAAGAACACGCGACACGCGACAAGCCAAAACAAAAAGGTGGTCGCAATAAAAACATTGACGCACAGCAGGCGGAACAGGGACGAGTTCGTCAGCTCCACGACTGTCGTGAAGTACTCACGGTAGGCATTGGCGTAGTCCAGGACAAACACCACAGGCACAAGAAAACTGAGAAATATGTATGCGTTGAGCGACAGCATTTTATTTTTTATTTTGTATTCCCCTCCTTCCTTCCTATATTTCTTCACACGCGTGTTATCAACGTCCCGCACTCAATGAAAAAAAACAAAAACAAAAACAAAGACAACAGGGGACGAATCACCGTTGTTCCTCGCTGGGGCATGCATCATTATTTAGTTTTTCTTTTTTTTTCTCAAAAAAAAAAAAAAAAAAAAAAAAAGAGGTGCGGTAGCGCCTCGGCATTTCAAGGCGGCACACCCCCCATAGGCACAGCAGCAGCACATGTGTCAACAAACCACGGCAGCGGAAGCAAAAAAAAAAAATAATAATAATAATAAAATAAGGCTAACAACACACAGACATCAACAGAAACATACGCATCCACAAATGAAAAAACACGCACACAATTAAGCCACCCTCGCTGCACCAGATGCACGTATCATTCGGAAATTTAGGTGGAAGGCGCATTGACAAAGCGACGCAGACGCATCAGTGCCATCCGTGTCATGTGTTCTCGCTCCTCCATTTCACTGAGCCGCTGTGCTTCCGCCACAACATCATGCGGAAGTCCCGCCATGCGTGCTACCCGCACCCCAAAACTAGACGGTGTTACACCCGGTGTAGGCTTGTAGGTAAACACCAGTTTGGGCTCCCTATCTTCTCCTTCTTCATCTTGCTCCTCAGAAAACCCCATATAATAGCACGATACTTGTTTTCCCTCGGAGGTATTATGAAGGTACGGCTCACATAGATGTGAGTAATGCGTCACAAACAGCATCGTCGTGCCTCGTTGCAAAAGATATTCAAGCGTTGCCGCAGCAACGGCAATACCGTCAAAGCTGCTTGTACCCCTACCAAGTTCATCCAACAATACAAGTGAGGAGGATACACGTGGCGAGCGCAGAATTCGGCTTGTCTCTTGCATCTCCTTCAAAAACGTAGAGGTTCCCTCCAGTAGAGAGTCACTTGCCCCCATACGACAATATACGGCTGTGAACAATGGCAACTGTGCCGCAGTCGCAGGAACGTAGCAACCCAGCTGGGCCATGATAACAAATGCGCCAACCATGCGCATAAGTGCAGACTTGCCACCCATATTGGGTCCTGTTAGGATCCATGCCCCACCTTTTGCCAGGCAAAAATCGCAGCTCACGTAGCCTCCCCGTAAAATGTTGTCCAGCACTGGGTGCCGACCGCCCACAATCTTCAGACACGTTGCACCATCTGAGAGCTCCGGTGCAACGTAGCCACGGGAAGAAGATGTCACAGTAAGGCACCGAATCGCATCCAGCACGGCCACAGCATCGATGACAGCCTGAAAGGCATTCATGGCTAAGGAAGAGTTTGACAATTCATCCTGCTTTTGTTGCCATGCTTCTTTTGCTGCAATAAGAAGACGCTCTCGGGCAGAACAAAGTGAAACATTACGATCAACAATGTTTGGGGTGTGAAATCGAACATGACTTTTTGTCCGTGTCAGCACTAACCAATCCTTTGGTACACGATTACACTTTGCTTGTGGCACGTCCACAATAAATGGCGTCCCAGCGATGGTGCGATACTCCAAATCAGGCATACGCAGTGTCTGGCGAATGTACTCCAGCTCCTCATCAAGGGCATGTAATGCCTCATCACGAGCCGTTAGGTGGGTCTGCATAGCAGAAGGAACAGAAACACCATGCGATGTAAAGTACTCTAATGGGGATGTCGCGTGTGATTCCATTTCACATTTGCACAACTGAATAAAATTGGCCGTTTCCGCGGAAGTGACCCTCTGCAGAGTCTCGAGAATTAAATTATCTATGCGCCCGTCATTGCGGGATAATACGGCATGAGCCAAAGTGTGGGCTTTTTCCAGAGCACGCAGAAGTTGAATGTACTCTGCAACTGAGCAGCGTTGCGCCCGCATCTTTCCCAGTGTTGCCTCAATATCGCCAAACCGGGCACACTCCCGAAGCAAATGCGTCACGGTGTTATCATCCTCTCCGTGCAACAAGAAAGAAACGGCGTTTCGGCGTGCTGTGATTGTGTTCATTTCACAAGGCGGTTCCGACAGCCACAGACGAAGGCGTCGTACACCAGGCGTAGTGAGACTGTGGTCAAGAAGCGCCATCAAAGAGCCTTTGGCCCCGATGCTGCTGTGAAAAATATCCAGCGCGCTCAACGTGCTACCCGGCAACTCCATTTTTCCCGTCACACTGTCGATGGCAGCATTCCGTGGCAACGTCTGACCAGCCTCCAAGCACATCTTCTCATACACTCTATTCAACCGATAAGGGGCAAGATAACTTGCAATCGTCTCGTCTATGGAACCGACCCACTCGAACACACTGAGGGAGATCGACCGGTCGTCCTCCTCTCCGTTAATGGTGGGGCCAAAGTGCAGCGGCAGCACGTCATTCAAACAAGAGGCGTACACCTCCGGCAAGCACCGCAGCGGGGAGGATTTGGGCGAAAATAAGTTGTCCTTCGCATTCTCCCCTTGGGGGGGCGCGCAGAGAAGAATCACCTCCACAATGTCGTAGCGGTGCAACACGTCCAAGAGTTCCACCTCCGATGCAATGCGGTGGCGTGTCACGGCGTAAGTAACAAAGCTGACAAGTGTGACATCCATCGCGGGAGCTCCTGCTGCTGCCGGCAATGATGATGGCGATGGTGCCTTTATAAAACACATGAACAACTCGGATGATTCTTCCTTCATGGGAAAATTCACTCCTTCTGGTTCCGCTTCGTCATCCTCCGCCCCGGCCTCTGCGACATCTGCCGTATCCACAGACGAAACACCATTTGAATTCGTCGTCTTCGCCGGGTTAGCGACACCAATCACCTCGGACGGGAGTAGTGTTCCTCGGCTGCACACACGTGTGATTTCTCGGGTGAAAATACCCTTCGCGGTCCCACTGGTTGCGCGAATGGAAGCGTTTTCTTGGTCAGCAAACGCCACCCGGTAACCCATGGCCACAAGGCGGTGAACGTACAGGTTTACTCGCACATACGGTACACTGCTCGACTCAAACGGGGTGGTACCAATGCACATGATACCCAAACGACGGCTCGCCACGCGGCTATCGCGGCCGTAGAACTTTACACGATAACCGCACGCAACCATCAGCACCACATCGGGCGGTAGAGATTCCTTGAGACAAACCACCTGCTTCTCAAGGGGCGTCAGTGTGACCGCTTTCACCTCCGTATCCTTCACGGGGCGTTGGCATATCAACTCAATGGCATGCCGAACTGCCGCCGCTTCCGCCTCGGCATCCCGCTGTCGCTTGCCCATCACGAACTCCTCACCGGATCCTCTTTTGCAGTGCTCCCCCCACCCACCCCAAAATAAACCACAGAAAATAAAATGAAATAAACCGCCGCGATGGGGAGAGAAAAAAAAAAAAAAAAAAAAAAAAAAAGAGAGGATCACAGGAGAAGCAGCAAAGAAATGTAATGCACGCAGCAATGACGATACGGGCAGAACAAAATAAGAAAATAGAGATTCCAGGGCCGAAGAATGGACTCAATCCACACTGTCAAAAGCCACGGGGATCACGTCAACAAGTAACTCTTAAACAGGAACAAAAGACAAAAACAGAAAAACACACACACACTTAAAAAACAAAAAAAAAAAGATTCCTCCAACTGACTAAAGTACATCGGATACAAACACACATAATTCCATTCCTTTCCACCTTCCCTTTTGTAAATATAAATATATATATTATATACGTGGGGTCATGATTCACTCCATCAATCCACTGAAACACCACCACCAAAAAAAGAAAAAAAAACAACAACTAAAAAACAAAACAAAATCAAGTAACGAAAGAAAAGTCCAACGCATCAAACGCAGAAATATATGCTTGTATGTGTATATTAACCCATATTGTACATGCGAAGACTCAAACTCTACCGCTAATGACGCAAAATGGCACTGTGTGCCAGTAGAGCAAGCATGTAAAACTTTTCAATTTTATCCGTCTGCAGATGGTGCTTGGTGTTTTTTCGACGATCATCTTCAAGAAGTTGGGAGAGCTCTTCGTTCAAGTATCGGCCTGTATTGAGTTCGTAGTGAGTGTAGGGTTTGTCATACATGGGGTCGTAATTATTAATGAATCGCGCCTGTACCGCCCCCGTAACGGAGTATCCTTCCTTTATCAAGGCGTCTAGTACTTCCAAATTACGTTTGATAAAATCTTCCCCTTCTGTAGACGCAAGAGTGGAGTGCATCGTCGAGAACACTCCTCCTCCTTTCACTTCGTCCTCAGCTTCCACGTGCATCCCAATATTGGAGCTTTACACAGACCGAAATGGGCGTGTATCCCCAACCTAAACCACGAAAGAGCAAGAAAATAAAGAAAAGAAGAAGACCACATTAAACATCATGGAGAGACACACGCCATTACACACAAAGAGAATGAGAGATGTAAAAAAAGAAAAGAGCCCAAAAGAGACAGTAAAAAGTAGAGGATTCAATGGAAGTCAATATTGCTGCGTACACCACACATGTGTGAGAGGGACACTCCCCTCCCCCCCAAAAAAAACTGGAGTCTCACAAAAAGAAAACCACAGCACCGTACGCCAATTCTTTTTACCTTTTTTAATTTTTTTCCACTTCTCTCTCTCCCTCTTTTTTTTTTCTTTGTATCCTTTTACTTGTGTTTTTATTCCGCTTTTCCTTCTCTCTGCTGGTTTTTTTTTTTTTATTTTCCCCCTTCTTATTCCTTGGGGAGGAGGTTCCTTGCCGCCCTACTTTTGAGGACAGGGGGCCATGGCACCCTTCTCCTTGTCCTCCTTGAGCGTCAGCACCCGGTTCATGACGAGGTGGCCAGGACGTGTGTCTGGGTCCACAACAAAATACCCAAAACGCTCGGCCTGCACGGATTCAAACACCTTCGCGTTTTGTATTTCCGGCTCGGCGTAACCCTGCTGGACCTGCTCGCTGTCGGAATTGATGTACTTTAGGAACTCCGGGTCAATGGCGGCACGATCGTCCTTCAGAAGATCTCCGTAAAGCCGGAATTCTACGGGAATTGCGTACTTCTCACTGACCCAAGTAATGTTCGTCTTGGGTTTTGTCGTCCGCCCAAAGTCCACCTCAACATGAATGAGAGAAGGTCGTCCAGCCTCATCGCACTCGTATCCGCGGCAGATGATATTCCCGCTGTACTTCAGCCCCACAGGACGCGGTCCAGGCGCCAGGCCGTAGAATTTGCTGTTGTTATCCTCTGTACGGAAGTCACTACGGTCAATATAAAAGGTTTTGGTAAACATTACTTTTCGCGACTGAAGATCGGGCTTTCGTGGGTGATTTAGGCACATCACCTCCATTTCGCCGTCCCAGTTGTCAATGACGACCTTGACGGGGTCCACAATCATAAGACGACGCTCGGTGCGTTCGTCAAGGTCGTCACGAAGAATGTGTTCAAGCATAGAACTCTGAATGACGTTCATGGAGCGTGTAATGCCGACATGATCACAGAATCGGTTGATGGCCTCCGGTGTGTAGCCGCGTCGTCGCATACCGGCCAGCGTCAGTAGACGAGGATCATCGAATCCACGGACAATACCTTTCTTCACCAGCACGTTAATTTTTCGCTTTGACAGCAGCGAGCCTGTCACATTGAGACGACTAAACTCCCAAACAAAGGGTCTCCAGAGGTTCAGTTGTTCCAACAGCCAAAAATAACTTTCGCGCCGTGTTTCAAACTCCAATGTGCACAAGCTGTAGTCGATATCTTCCAGACTGTCGACGAGGCAATGTGTATAGTCGTAGCTAGGGTAAATACACCACTTGTCCTTGGCGTGCGGGTGCGCAGAAAACTTGACGCGGTACGCAATAAAATCACGCATATTTGGGTTATCACTCTTCATATCAATTTTTACCCGTAGTGTTGCTTCCCCTTCTGCATATCGCCCCTGTCGCATGTACTCAAAATGGAGAAGATTTTCTTCGATGGAGCGATTGCGCCACGGGCTTTCCTCGCGACTCTCGCGCTGCTTCTTAATTTCATCCGCGGTGGAGTGGTCCACATACGCCTTGCCAGCCTTAATAAGTTGAATCGCAAATTCGTAAAGTTGCTGGAAATAATCCGAAGAAAATGTGATCCAGTCCGGCTTCCACCCCATCCAGCGCACCATTTCCTGGATGGCGTCGATGTACACCTGCTCCTCCGTCTCGGGGTTCGTGTCATCGTAGCGCAGATAACACTTGCCACCATGCGCCACGGCACAGCCAAAGTTCAGGTTCATACTCTTCGCATGGCCAATGTGGAGAAAGCCGTTGGGCTCCGGCGGGAAGCGGAAGTAGGGCTTCCCTCCCGTCAAGGCATGATGCTTTTCCAGCAGCTCCGGTGTGTTGGAGTACCCCGCCACCGGCCGCCCTGTCTGCAGCAGGCGAAGATCCTTTTTTACCTCCAAGACGGGCACAGCCGTGGAGGCAGCAGTCGTGGATGGGGCTGTCATTTTCCTCCACAGCAACAACGTGGGGCGGCGAAACGTTCTTCGGGGTGTCGAGTTATTGTTCAATAGACGCTACGTGTCAGGGAACCAATGTGGAAAATAAGAAAGAAAGAAAACAAAAACAAAAAACAAAAACAAAAACAAGGAAATTCAAACAACAGACACACACACACACACACAGAAAAACCACACACCTGAGTTCTCTGTCTCCCTCCTTGTTAGGTGGAAAACAAAATAAAAGCACCGTGAAGCAGACATTTAAAGCTCCATAAATTCCCCGTTGTGTTCCCCTCCCATAAATGCTTGTCCCACACCCTTGACGGATATCGAGATAATATCAATGGCCCATGGTGTCCACAAACGTTAGAGCAAATCCAGACGCACCACCTCCATCATCTGTATTTTGTTGCCGTTATTGGCAATGTTGTTGTTGTTGCTGCTGCTGCTGCTGCTGCTGCCAACGCAATTACTCCTCTTGAATTCTATGGATTTTTATAAAATAGTCATAAATAATAACAATATATATATATATATCAAACCCCCTGGCCTTCATAAATAGCCCTCATTATTATGCGTTTTTTTTTTTTTTTTGTTATCGTCCGCCCTCCTCTTCTTTCACCACCGCACCGAATCCCTCCTTCGTTTTTTCTCCCTTCCCATCCCGCCCTTCGGTCGTCGTGTGCATCTCGTGGCGGTCAAACAAACAAACAAAAAAAAAGGGGGCTCCTCACATCACGTCATCCATCTTTGGGGCAAGGAAGTAGCGCAGGTAGCCCACTTGATCGATATTGAACTCCACCATGCACGGGCTGTCCGGAGCAAACTTCAGCGACACACGGTCGCTCAGCGTAGATCCCTTCGCAAAGACGTTCATAAAACGCAGCGCAAAGGAGAGAGTAACAGGCTCGTCCGTCCGCACCTCAACCCCAATGGCCGTGTGGCTATTCTTCGTGCCTGATGCGTTGGCGCGGCCGATGGGTGTATCGTCGTCCTCTTCCTTCTTCACCTCCGGCGCGGTCCTCACCGTGCGCCCCGTTCCTCCAGCGGCGCGCAGGAAGGCGTAGCCCTCGCCCACATCGCCGGAGGAGCTGAATTTCACACCCTCCTTTCGAATCTCAATTGTGACTGTCTCGCCAAAGACGCTCATGTCTCGAACAATTTTGGCAAACTCCTGGGAACTGAGAGTCACCGTTGAGCCGTACTCCATCTCCGGAATTCCCATAGCCTCCCCCTCAATCTCCAGCAGTTTCAGCTGGTACTCACACTTGCGGGACTTCTCAACATTTTCCGAGGTCAACACAACGACATCAGAATCATCCTCGTGGTGCAGCGTCAAACTGTCGGAGCCCTCAACAATCTTCAGCACCTTTGAAAGAGAGGCGAGATTGAGGCCAAGAATACTGTTCCGCTCACACTGGTACTTGGTGAAGCAGTCGTCACGGAGGAGGAGATGGACAAGGGCGACGTGACTGGTGTCCATGGCTTGAATGGAGAGGCCACCAGGATTGCAGTCAAAGTTCGCCTCATTCACAAGCCCACTGATGCATTCAATCAGCCGCTTCCACAAGTTTGCCTGTTGAACTTGAGCCTCCAGCATGATCAAATGATATTCTTCTTCGCGGGTTCTGTCGTTTCACTTTATTATATCCCTTTTTGTGTTCTCTCTCGTTTTATATTCTTAGTTATTTTTAATCGCCTGCTGCGTTTACCACGTACTGAGCGAATGGAAAGAAAGAAGACATGGTAAGAGCAAAAGGAGAATTGGACAAAAAAAAATGCGTAACAACAACAACAATAACAACAGAGGACAAATAACAACAACGCAAATATTCACCTGAATGAGGCCTAGCTCCCCTCCTATTCTCAAAAAAAGAAAAACACAAAGAAGACCACAAGTTGTTTCAATGCACCCGACATCCCCCACAACTCGGAGGGGATTCAGACAACACTCAATACGCACATCAACAAATAGGTGCAAAACACACCTGCTGCGATAACCGGGAATGCCGCAATACCACGAATTGGCATCCTTTCGCGCCCCACAACCACCGGACTTCCCTGTGCAGAGGGCAATTGCAGTATTATTATTATTTATTATTATTATTTATTGGTAGTGGGTGGACAAAGAACTCACACCCCCTACTTCTCTTCAGAAAAAAGAAGTCCAGCGGCATCCTCGCGCACCAGCAATGGGCAAACACGCATAGCCGTATATTCTTCCCAAAACGACTCGACAGATGTGCAGGTCTCGTCGCCGAACACCAGGGCAAATACGGCATCGTAACCCCCTGCCCCGGGACATCCCACGGCAAAAACACCAGGAATTGCGCACGTGGCATCAAGCAAGGCGGTCAACTTATTCGGCTCAATCTCCACAGAAGCAGCCTGGCCCATTTCACGCAAATAACGTCGACTCTTCGAGGCGTAGGTCGCCGCCTCCACCCAAAGTCGTTCGGCATCGTTTTGGGGAATATGCTGAGCAAGCACAACATGCTTCAAGACATCGACTGAGTTCACATGTTCCACTGTCTTTTCATCAGCCTGTAGAATCAGCGCCTTTAGTGATGCCACGTACTTCTCATTGTTCTCTCGGAGCTGTTCCCATAGATTATATGGATTGTCGGCAACAGAATTCCGCCATGCCATTACCTTGGAAACCATTCCCGGCGTGCCTGAGCCACCCTGGTGAACATCTCCCAACAGCAGCTTCAGCCCAAGGGGAAGATGGAAAGGAACGCGCTTCACCCACTCCTTCTCCATATTTACACAGTCCGCAAGCGTTGACACCACCACGTTCGAGGGAGACTCGTTGGTACTCATAACACTCTCAACAAATTGTGCCGGAAAGCGGCGGTACGCACAGGTTCCGTATGCTGCTGTGTAAACGTCGAAGCCACTTCCAATTTTTCCCTGAGCCACACTATGAGCTACTTGAGCAACGCGGTGCACAATCTCCTTCTCCGCTGAAGTGTCGGTTTTTGCCGTGGTATTATTTTCATGGTTATCACTGCTGCTTTGGGCGGTAAGCAAACGGTATAGACATGCCACCATGCTGGTTGTCATTGCAGCCGAGGAACCCAGTCCTGTCTTGGATACATCACCAACGAGAGGCAGGTGCGGGGGAAGCAAACGCAAGTTGGCCGCGGTGACTTCCTTTCCCTGTGACTCCAAGTAGTTTCTTTGACTGTAAAAGTCATTATCAGCAAGAAGCTCCAATGTTAACTCCTTGAAAACATTTCCACCCTGCGAAATTGCCGCAGCCACGGTATACAAGACGCTGTAGCGTAAGAAGGGGGAATGAGTTCCCTCTGTCTGAGCCACAGAGACGGCGGGCTCTGGCGTGCTCTCGACCGTGCACTCAAACGCAAACTCCTTGCCAAACTGGGGCGAATGGATGCGCACACAACACTTCCCCTTGGCTGCGTCCCGCGTCGTCAGTAGCCGTGTTTCAAACCGCGCGGTTGTGCCGACGGAGATCCCAACATTAGGGGCCTCAACGATGAGGTAGCCACCAAGGATGAGAACTTTGCCAGAAGAAGACGCCCTCGTAGTCGCAATAGCAGTATCCATTGACGGCGACAAAAACAAATGACAGTTGCAACGTCGAGAAACAAAACAGAAAGATTTTGCCTCCAACACGGATGGGCAATGCAAAATAGAACCTCCGACAAAGCCACAGAAACCGATAATGAGATGTAAACGCACAAATACGAATGTTTACTAACACGCGAGCACAAATGGCTGTTGGCGTCGCACAAACGCCGCAGTGGAAGAAACGGGGACGGGGGTGAGAAAAGGAGAAGAAGAAAAAAAAAGCCAAAAGAAAGAAAAAACAAATTTGAAAAAAAAAAAAAAAAATGCATCAGCCATCCGTGACGCGTACCGCAAGTTTATTCGTGAAAAATCGTCCAAAAAAAAACAAACAAACAAGCAGAAGAGGTGTTGACTTCCAGAGAGAAAAAGTCCATATCGTTCAATTTACACACCTCGCACTAACGAAATCCCCCAACGCCCGATCTCTCCTCCCCTGGTGGCGGGAGCCCAATGGCCCTAAAAAGCTCCGGGTCGACTGTGACTTGTCGCTTTTTGCGCAGCTTCTCTGCCGTTGCGTGGGCGTCTGACGCCTGGGCGGCCTCAATCTTCTCGCCCATCTCTGTGACGGCCCCAGCGGCGACGTTGGCCCGGTGAAGGCGCCACAGGTAGTACATGCTGAGCAGTGCGCATGTTCCCGCAGAAAAGAAGAAGACAATGAAGAACACATACCCCCCTCGGCTCACACAACACCATTCGGCACAGTCCGTGATGCCTGCGTCCAGCAGCTTACACATGCCCTCCGCCAAGCACGGATCACGTGCGCAGTCAGCACGCAAAGAACGATATCCAGTGCATTTAGCGACACACTGAGTTGCCATCAACTAAAAGGGCACAATCACCGTTTCTATTTTTTCTATTTTTTTTTTTTTTTTTGGGCTCCAAATTCTCCTCTGTTTGCTTGCCGCCACGCAAGAAAAGGGGGGAAAAAATAAGTCCCTTTCAACAAACAAAAAATGAAAGAAAAAAAAAAAAGAGAAAAGGGAAGAAAGGCACAGACATGCCGCCGCAGGTAGAAAAAAAGAAAGCATCGACAGTCAAGCACAACTGCGGCACGTGAACGCAGCGCAACAACAAAAAGCCCCAGCAAAGAGTTTCGTATAAAAACGGGTAATTTATTTAATTCGTTTAGCAGCGACGCCCATTTCTCGAGGGGCCTTCATTCTTGTGCCACTCCGTCAATGAGAGCCTTTTTTTCTTCTTCTTCTTCTTCATGTCTTTTCTTTTCTTCTCCATCCGTCCATTTTTTCTTTTCTTTTCTTCCCTCCCTTTTATCCGCTCCTCAAGTTCACAGTTTAACAGCAATCATTAAATGTAAATATGCGTTTTTTGTTGTTGTTTTTTTTGTTTGGGAAAGAGGGGTGGGTGGGTAAAGAGGGCGTCTGCCGCGACTTCCGAGCGCCATCCACAGGCGCTTGCGGCTCCCTACGCAACAGACACACGCTCCGTCTGCCACCCCTCTTTCCCCCCCCTTCCGCCCCGTTTCTCGCTGTCCTCCCATCGGGTGGGGAGGAAAAAAACAAAAGACAACAACAATCAAAAAAAAAAAAAAAAAAAAAGAAAAAAGAAAAGAAAAAACTTTTTTTTTTTTTACTTTCCCGTTTTTATTTTTCCCCCCAATTTTTCTTTCTTTTTTCCTTTTTCAACTCTTCGTGCGTGTCTTCTTGCCGTTTGGCTTCTCTCTTTTTTTTTTTTTTTTTCTTCTTTTCTTCTTCTTTGAATGGGTTGAGGCTTCTCTTCGCCCTTCATTCATGTTCCTCCCCCATTGAGGGCTTACAAAAGACGCTCAATCTCTAGCTTGACAGCCTGCACCTTGGCGGAGACGGGGCTGTTCTCTGACTGCAGGATCGCCAGGGCCACCGCGTTGCGTGAGACCTGAGCTGCCCGTCCTAGTGCCGTCTTGGAAGGCACAAAAACATACGGCACGTTCTTGTCCTCACAAAGCAGCGGAAGGTGCAGCAAAATCTCAATCGGGTTCGTGTCGCCCGCCAGTACGATCAAGTCCGCAATGCCACGGTTCAGTGCTTTGGTGGCCTCGTTGGCCCCTTTCTTGATCATCTTCGCGTTGCTGGCCTCTTGCACTAAGTCCAGGATGGTCTGCGTCAGGCGATCCCCGGCGAGAGGAAATGCCTTCTCACTGATCTCAGCCGTCATTCGCAAATTTTCCTCGTAGACACGTCTATGCGGGGTGGTGGCGGTGGTGGTGGTGGTGGTAGGGACCGGGGGCAGCGGCGGCAGCACCGTTGGGTGGGATTCGTTTTTAATGCACGGCAATGACGCATGCAAAGAGACCGAGAGGGAGGGAGAGAAGCCCCCAAGAAAAGAAAAAAAAAAAAAAAAAGAAAAGTTTGAAAGCAAAGAGAAAAAGAAAACAAAAAAAACAAAAAGAAAAACACACAAAAAAGAAGAAAACAACAACAAACAGAACGGCAACGGCAAAAAGCGACATCCCTCCAAGGAACAACATCAATTGGAACAGCACACGTCACGCTCAGACTCAAACACCGGTTTTCAAATAGGAAGTAAATAAATCAAGTACATATGCGGATTGCATGGGCACCGGAAAACGCAAAAAATTGCGCTGCGGAATTAAGACCATGAAACACTTACAAAAAAAAAAAGAAAAAAGAAAAAAAAAAGAAGGGGCCCAATTCAAAAAATCCCCCCCGAGGGTGAAAGAAACAAGAAAAAAACAAAACTCACCAAAAAATGGGGGAAAAAAAGAAACGGGAAACACAAAACAAGAATAATCGCACCAAAAACAAAGAAAACAAACATAAATGGTGCCTTCGCTCATTGAAATTTCTCATATATACATCATTTATTTCCATCACCGGCAGCCTTGACGTCAAGTGTTCGCTGCCACTCTAAACGGTTACTCTCCACACGTTCGACTGTCCATTGCATGCCGGTGAGACTGGCACTCACAATCTTCTTGAAGAACGGGCCGGCAACGAAGTCAATGAAGCCAATCTGCCCCTTGGCCAGCTCCGTGTTCTTTGAGCGATCAAACATGGGCAGAACCTCCACGCCCTTCTCCTTTTCCATATCACCCTGCCGGTAGAATTCCTCCGTCACCGCCATGGCCCATAAGCGAGAGATATCAAATGGTTTGGTTACATTGGAGACATCGCCGGCCTTCACAATTACATCCATCATCATTTGCCTGGAGGCAACATCGCCAATTTGGTAAGGTTTTTCCATCGCAGCAAGAAACAAATTCAAAAGTTCATTATGTTTGGCCATATCCGTGGCAAGCACACAGTCAATCATGGAGCGGTACGCCAAGGTGCGGTCGGCGGCGTCAAGGCCCTCAAACACATCCGAGTCCGGGTCCGAAAGAATTTCAACAGCAAGATTGCAGTGGTGCACCTCCAGCACCGAGGCGTTGCCGCTCGCACTCGACAGAATACCAAGAGGGGAATCCGTCTTGAGGTAGAAGCTGTTGTTCAGCCCCATGTGGTCCAGGTCGTGCACCAGCGCCGTCACAAGAAGCACAAAGCAGTCGAGCTCCGTCAGCTTTTCGCACACAGCTCCCTTGTACAGGAAGGTATATATGGTCTGGCACACATCCACAACGTGGTAAAAGTTGTGGTACGGCACGTTGCGGTACTTCTTCCGGCACTGCAGGATAAAATTCAGCAACGTGTCATCGCGGCAACGGAGCTTTTGCGGGAGACCGGTCCCAACAATCAGCCTGTACGCAACAGCAGCGGCAGCGTCAAGTGGTAATTCCATATTCTCGCGCAAATAAAACAGGTCAAAGTCAATGCTTGTGATGTCCAGATGGGCGAGATTGATGTCTCGCACAGCCTGTCTTTCAGCTTCCGTGATTGCAAGCGGACGTTTTATATTGCGCAACGAACCAGTACGGCCACCAGCCAATGCACGGTTCTCATTCAGCTCCATCATTTCGCGTCCAGCTTTCACTGCAAACTCCAGAAGGTGGGAATTATTGATGGATATGCCTGCAAAGAGAGAGAAGACACGAAACGTCTCCCGGTCACTCTCCGTGAACACAGTCACCTCCCCGGCTTCATTCAGTTTGTTCACAAGCTGTACCACAGCAAGGATCTCACCGTTCAGCACAATTGGCTCACATAGCAGGGCCTGTGTGCGGTACCCAAGCTGCTTGTCCACTTCTCGGTTGAATCGAGGGTCTTGATAGGCGTCAAGGATGTTCTCACCGATGCCAGTCGATGCCACGATGCCAGCAATTCCCTGCCCGCACGGAAAGCGGATCTCCTTCCCAGCCACACTGTCCGCAATGCGGCTGTACAGTTCGTTCCGCTCCTTGTCCACCAGAAACAACGCGGAGCGATCTGCATACAGGAGCCTCTTCGCGCCGTGAAGCACGTGGCGCACAATGCCATCCACGTCACGGATGTCGGTGTTTGACAGCAGCGTCACAACGTCCAAGATGGCATCGCTCTTCCGCTTCTCGTTAATCAGCTTCTCGTTGATGCGGCAGTTCCGGAGTGAGGCTCCAGCGAACATGGAGAAGGTCTGGAAAAGCTCCTCGTCACGCTTGCCAAAGGTGCGTGGCAGTCTCAGGCCGCTCTCCGTCACCATGTCCAGCTTGTTAATCAACTGGGCAACAGCCACAATTGACCCCTCGTACGTCACAGGCATGCAAAGGATCGTCTTGGTGCGGTACCCAGTCGCCTTGTCCACTTCACGATTGAAGCGGTCGTCAGAGTACGCGTCGGAGATCTTGACCGTTTGTCCCGTCTGGGCCACGTAACCGGCAATGCCCGTGGCAATCGGAATGGCAACAATATTCCCATCTTCAAAGTGGGCCTCCAGGGTATCGTCTTTGACAAGGAATATGCTGCAGCGGTCGCTCTCGGTAAGCACCTTGGCAGTGTTCATGATGGAGTTTGCAAGCACAGCCTCATCCAAATTGTCACGGGCGAGCTGCGTTGCCATCGCCAGCATGGCCTCAGCCTTTTCTTTGTTCCAGTTCAGTCTCTCGGACTCGATGGTGTTGTGGATGACAGTCGCGGCTACGCGGAGAACAGCATCAATTATTGCTTGGCTGTGGTAGTCAGTTCTGCCTGAGGGGCTTTCGACGCATCCGATCACTGTCTCATTGTGGAGGAGTGGTATGTACAAAGTACCGGCAATGCTGAAAGGCCGTGTAGAAAACAGTGTCTTACCCAACGGTGTCCTTTCGTCCACGAGCGCTGCTATTCCATTGACAGGGTCCTTCAACAGGTCGTCACCGGAGTCAAGGTAGTACGTGCGGGTATTTTTGGTCCGTAGTACTGCAGATATCTGTTCATTGAGCATTATAAAAACCTCCTTAATGGGTAGGCATAAATCAATGCACTTTTCCATAAGTTTTGTAACGGACTCAAGAGGTGTCTGAAATACCGCCCCAATCGTCGGAATTGCCGGAGCCATTTTTATGATGTTCAGCGGCTTGACGAATGCCGCATTACCCCCCTGTGTGGCATGCGTAATTTCATGAAATCGCTCAGAAACAGCTTGAAATGCCTTTGTTTCCGCTTCATCAACCTGTAGGCCGCATCGCTTATAGCGTGAAAGGATGACCTCGCACAGTGTCAATGCCTCAAGGAGATGACGACCGCCTGTCTCCGCCATAAATCACGTACAACGCTGTACAAAAATTAAAAATACAAATAAAAATAAAGAAACACAATTTCTTTGAAATAAGAAAAAAAAAAAAAAAAGAGGAAAAAAAAAGAGAAACACAATCCACACGTATATATATATATATATGCATGTAAATAAATACATACATATATGTATTTATCTCTCTCTCTCTCTATATATATATATATATATATGTATATTGCATTGTATTCATGTCGCAACACCACCGATCTGACTGCTCATAAATCGGCAATAACCGCGTGAACATCTTTTGGCCTTCGCTCCGTAATAACCGTCACACCACGTGAAATGTGAGAAACAACCCAAAACATCAACAATGAGGACATAATAATAATAATAATCTTGACGGCCAAAAAGAAAAAGAAAAAGAAAAACGGGGTAAAAATCATTTGCTCCTCCTCCTCCTCATCCTCATCCTCCGTTTCGTTTTTTTTTTTTTTTTTTTCTTTCCCTCTCTCTCTCGTCCCTTCCTCTTGTTGGTGCACTGCCCCCGCTGGTGTTACCCGACATCATAAAAGATACATAGTGGCCGAGTGCAGAGAAGCCTTGACGTACAGGAGGTGATACACATGTAACTACGAGCGTGCATATAACTGTAACAACCATAAACATTACATGTTGAATCCCTCGTTCTCCAAAAAAAAAAAAAAAAAAAAATAATAATAATAATAATAATAATAATAATAATAAATAAATAAATAAATTAATTAATTAATTAAAAAAAAAAAACATTTAACTCCGTGACGGGTGTGGTCCCTCTTTCTTTCTTTCTTTCTCTCTCACTGTGTGTGTGTGTGTGTGTGCATGCATGATCCCCACGGCATTCACAGGAGAGAAAGAAAACAACAACAACTTCCTTTTCAGTCAATCAGCCCTCACACACACGCCACCCACACCAGCGGCATATCACCACACATAGAGACACATGGAGACAAACGGCTATCCAGGAGAAAACAAACAAAAAAACAAACTGTACATCAAAATGGTCCACTACATTTTCCGCTTCAAATGCAAAAAAGAAAAAAAAAATATTAACAAAAAGAAAATTAAAAAGAGATGGCCGAAACATATCGTGGCAACAAACATACATGCATACATATTTATACAAACAATATACCAGACAAACCTCTGCCCCCCTCCACTCCCAAAAGAAAAAAGCAGGCATTCAGAGAATGCGTCAAAAACAACAACAACAACAACAAAAATTCCCAGCAGTCACACCTATACATCGCAATAAAAACAACAAGAACAACAAAGAAAAAAAAAAAAAAAAAAGGTTCAAAAACGAAATTGCCAACCCATACAACAACAAAAGGATAAAAAAGATCCCTTGAAGAAATGCAAGGAGCCACAAAACGGCAATGACGCAGCATCAACGACGGTTCCACGCACCAATAATATAATTCAAAAACACAAAACAAACATAAAGCTTTATTGTTTCAATTGCGTATTTACAAGGGAAAAAAAAAAAGACAAAAAAAAAAGAAAACATCCCTTTTTTTTTTTGCTTCAGGCTGTACACAAACTAAAATATATAAATACGTACGCCCACAGTCAAAAGTAACACAACAAAAAGTTGTTCTCTGGTAATATTGGTAATTGTTTTTGCTTCAGTTTATTTGTTTCTAACACTACTTGGCGTCAAGTGATCGCTGCCACTCCAAACGGTTACTCTCCACACGTTCGACTGTCCATTGCATGCCGGTGAGACTGGCACTCACAATCTTCTTGAAGAACGGGCCGGCAACGAAGTCAATGAAGCCAATCTGCCCCTTGGCCAGCTCCGTGTTCTTTGAGCGATCAAACATGGGCAGAACCTCCACGCCCTTCTCCTTTTCCATATCACCCTGCCGGTAGAATTCCTCCGTCACCGCCATGGCCCATAAGCGAGAGATATCAAATGGTTTGGTTACATTGGAGACATCGCCCGCCTTCAACACAATCTGCATGGTCAGTTCAGCAATACGCTGCTCACTGGTTTCAGGATTCCCCAACACCGACAGAAAACTTTCCAGTGATTTCCCATGTTTGGCCATATCCGTGGCAAGCACACAGTCAATCATGGAGCGGTACGCCAAGGTGCGGTCGGCGGCGTCAAGGCCCTCAAACACATCCGAGTCCGGGTCCGAAAGAATTTCAACAGCAAGATTGCAGTGGTGCACCTCCAGCACCGAGGCGTTGCCGCTCGCACTCGACAGAATACCAAGAGGGGAATCCGTCTTGAGGTAGAAGCTGTTGTTCAGCCCCATGTGGTCCAGGTCGTGCACCAGCGCCGTCACAAGAAGCACAAAGCAGTCGAGCTCCGTCAGCTTTTCGCACACAGCTCCCTTGTACAGGAAGGTATATACGGTCTGGCACACATCCACAACGTGGTAAAAGTTGTGGTACGGCACGTTGCGGTACTTCTTCCGGCACTGCAGGATAAAATTCAGCAACGTGTCATCGCGGCAACGGAACTTTTGCGGGAGACCGGTCCCAACAATCAGCCTGTACGCAACAGCAGCGGCAGCGTCAAGTGGTAATTCCATATTCTCGCGCAAATAAAACAGGTCAAAGTCAATGCTTGTGATGTCCAGATGGGCGAGATTGATGTCTCGCACAGCCTGTCTTTCAGCTTCCGTGATTGCAAGCGGACGTTTTATATTGCGCAACGAACCAGTACGGCCACCAGCCAATGCACGGTTCTCATTCAGCTCCATCATTTCGCGTCCAGCTTTCACTGCAAACTCCAGAAGGTGGGAATTATTGATGGATATGCCTGCAAAGAGAGAGAAGACACGAAACGTCTCCCGGTCACTCTCCGTGAACACAGTCACCTCCCCGGCTTCATTCAGTTTGTTCACAAGCTGTACCACAGCAAGGATCTCACCGTTCAGCACAATTGGCTCACATAGCAGGGTCTGTGTGCGGTACCCAAGCTGCTTGTCCACTTCTCGGTTGAATCGAGGGTCTTGATAGGCGTCAAGGATGTTCTCACCGATGCCAGTCGATGCCACGATGCCAGCAATTCCCTGCCCGCACGGAAAGCGGATCTCCTTCCCAGCCACACTGTCCGCAATGCGGCTGTACAGTTCGTTCCGCTCCTTGTCCACCAGAAACAACGCGGAGCGATCTGCATACAGGAGCCTCTTCGCGCCGTGAAGCACGTGGCGCACAATGCCATCCACGTCACGGATGTCGGTGTTTGACAGCAGCGTCACAACGTCCAAGATGGCATCGCTCTTCCGCTTCTCGTTAATCAGCTTCTCGTTGATGCGGCAGTTCCGGAGTGAGGCTCCAGCGAACATGGAGAAGGTCTGGAAAAGCTCCTCGTCACGCTTGCCAAAGGTGCGTGGCAGTCTCAGGCCGCTCTCCGTCACCATGTCCAGCTTGTTAATCAACTGGGCAACAGCCACAATTGACCCCTCGTACGTCACAGGCATGCAAAGGATCGTCTTGGTGCGGTACCCAGTCGCCTTGTCCACTTCACGATTGAAGCGGTCGTCAGAGTACGCGTCGGAGATCTTGACCGTTTGTCCCGTCTGGGCCACGTAACCGGCAATGCCCGTGGCAATCGGAATGGCAACAATATTCCCATCTTCAAAGTGGGCCTCCAGGGTATCGTCTTTGACAAGGAATATGCTGCAGCGGTCGCTCTCGGTAAGCACCTTGGCAGTGTTCATGATGGAGTTTGCAAGCACAGCCTCATCCAGATTGTCACGGGCAAGCTGCGTTGCCATCTCCAGCATGGCCTCAGCCTTTTCTTTGTTCCATCTTAGTCTCTCGGACTCGATGGCGTTGTGCATAGCGCATGCCACAAACTGAAGTGTTTCCTTGATTCTCCGCTTGTCGCCTTTTTCTGGACTTCCCCATGCACTCTCCACGCATGCTATCACTTTACCTTCGAAGGAAAGTGGCAGGTAGAGCGTTCCAGCAATTTCGCGTTGGATGCCGGTAAGCACCGCTTTGCCGAGTGGCGTTGTTTCATCAAGTGTCGAGGCTGTGGCATACACAGGGTCCTTTAGAAGGTTGTCGGTGGGGTCAAGGTAATATACGCGGCACCTAGGTGAATTAAGGCAGTTGCCGAGTTCTTGATTTAGTAATTGAAAAACATCTTTAAGAGGTTTGCCAAAGCCGAAAACATTGTCTATTAGAGATCCCAAATCCGTCGTTGGACCAATTGAAGACGTTTTCGAGGTCCCCAACGACGCAACGGTTTCAGTGAGAAAATCATGTGGCACTCGCAGTAACAGTGAGGCAAATGCCTTTTTTTCTGACTCAGAAAGTTGCCTGTTGTTGCGTTGGTAGCGTGCCAAGATGGACTCGCTAATGGCGAAGGCTTCGCAAAGGTGGTTCGTTTCTTTCAATAACTCTTGAGTATTGGGACGCAGGCGTTGTTGAGTAAACATTGGTTGCCAAGTTGCCTGACGCAGTGAAGTTAAGGTCTTAAAATGTTAGAAGCTGGAAAAAAGTAAAGAGACATAGAGAGACAGAGGGGAAAAAATATATATATATGTATGCTGTGATGCCAACAACGACAAAACACAAGAGAACTGAGCCCCTCGCAATGATTCAATCATGGACAGCAAGAAGCAAAGAAAAAAACAAAAAACAAAAAAACAAACAAAAAGACGTGTCGGTGGGGAGTGGATAAAAACGCGGGACCCCATTGGTGGAATATTCTGTACGACGCCTCAAGTCCCACTGGAAAAAAAAGAAAAAAAGAAAAAGAAGAACATGGATGCAGATGCAGGCAAATACATTGCAATCAAAGAAGTATACCCACGTTTTATTGAACATAAAGGGTGATTTATGCGCGTTGCAAGAGTACCCCATGAGGGTATAAGTCTAAAAGTCGGTTCTGTATGGTAAAATAACTAAAAAGGAAGGGAGGAAGGGAGGGAGTGAAATAGAATCGTCACCGGAATTTGAAGTAGTACAGTAAATACATTTCATCTGTTTTTTTGTTTTTTTTTTTCGCTTCTCTCTCTCTCTCTCTTTTTTTTTCCCTGAACATCGTTGTTGTTTCTATGGTTTGGGGGTCTTCTTCGCTACCCCTTTTTTAATGACTCGCTCGGGTGCCAAGTACGTCTCTGTTAGTAACGCATTGGCCTTTTCGAGGCGGAAACAGCCCGCTCTATCCATAACATCGTCATACACCGATTTCCCGTATCGGGTTTCTGCCAGCAGTGTAGCAATTTCCACGTCGCTCATGCGGGAATAAATGAGGTACGTCTTTGGCGGAACATTTACTCCGTCCGGGTGAATGTGGGAGATGTAAGTTCCCTGATCCGTGCTCCGACCCGCATTGGCCCTTTCCAAGTTACGCAGCGCCTTGAAATACAAACTTTCGCGGAATCGATCGGATTCCATGAGCATCTTATATTGTGTCGCCTCCGGCTCCGGCAGAGATGTCTTGGCGGTGGCAAGTCCACGGTACTGCGCAAAAAGCCGCACAATATCGAAGCGATCTACATCAAAGGTGGCGCAGTGAGACGCGCAGTACTTCTCAAACCGGGGTGCGTCCTCATCCGTGATAGGCATAAACTTCGCCCGCTCCTCCTCTGTGAGGCCGTCAAATTTTTTCGACAGATTTTCCCATAAATCACCTGAAACTATCCGGTTGACCGCAAGAACCCGCGAGACGGCTGTGAAAAGGGCCTTCTGCGTCGGAGCCACGCTTCTCAGCATCTCCACAAACGATTCAAAGTAGCGCATTTGCGGAAAATACCAGGCTGCTGGTAACGCTCGCTCCGTCTTCTTATTCTTGTCGCGGAGTGTCTTGGGCACCAGTTTCTCGCGAAGTTTTTTCTTGTGTTCAGATTTAAGTTGTGTCAATGTATTCCTCGCCATGTGGGCGGTAAAGAACTCGTCGCCGACACGCGCCACTTCCTCGGACCGAAACAGAAGTCGCATGAGTAAATTAAAATCATTAAACGACTTTTCATTGTCATGACCCTTAAGAACCCCAATTTCACGCGCGCGTCTGTTGTACCAGTGGCGCTGCCCACGAGTGAGTTGCTGCCAGCGTCGCGAAACAACCCGCATGTTCTCATGTCCATGTCGCAGGTTTTTAGCTGTGAGGACCTGCTCATTCTCCTGTATTTCCTTAGCAAAGAGTGAAAACCCGTTGATGTGATGACGTGCCTGTGCCATTCGGGCACCCTGAAAAGACTGAGCGTTGCCGCTAAGAAGGCAGTAACGTCTCATACTTGCGGGAGGGGCGAGGGCACGCTAAACACCTTTTAAATTTGTGTTGTTGTAATGTACACCAAGAGAAAGAGAGGAAAGAGAACTTTCATAGTGTATCAAAAGCAAGCAGACGTGCAATATCCAAATATTACAAAAGACTTTCATATCCATGTAAAAACACACACGCACACACACACACAAAAAAAAAAAAAAAAAAAAAAAAGAAAAGAAAAGAAAAACGGCAGCAGAACCAAAAAACAACAATAACAACAACAACAGGAAACAAAAATAAATAAACAAAGAGGAACATGTGCCAAAAATTCAACAACAACAACAACAACGACAACAAAGAGAGACATATTTTGAATATTTCACTTCACACGGGTACCATCCTGCAGCCCTAACAGCCACATTAGTGCAAAATGTGCGCCATACCACAACTGACCACCAAATGATGCCCGCTCAAGAATCATCTCACGACTACGGTACGACCAACGAAGACCCAGCTGACCGCTAAGGGTAGGGAGACTAATCTTCATCCGGTGCTTCACCTGCCCACTGTATGCCTCCTTCTGATAGCTGAAGACATACCACCGAGAGAAACGAGTGTTTATAACAAGAGATGTCACGGTCGTATCGCCACTCGCTTGTTTCCAGCACGATTGATCAAGAATAGAACGCAGAAAAGAATTCAGAAAAAGTGACTCTACGATTAACTTACTATTGTCCCACAGCCAAAATAAGTACGACTCACCGACGTCCTTGTTACTCATTGGAAATTCCTTTACCTCATAGAAACAGCTCGGGGCATGCAGCGCCCGCGCAGTCTCCCCCAACGGGCTCTCAAGGAGTGTAACAGAGTTCCAGAAGGTCATGGTAGGGCACGGGTTGGTGCTGCGCAGTGCATTATCATAGCCCACAAGTCCCAAATAGAGAGGAATTCGGTAGCGGGAGATAAAAAAACGCCCCTTTCGGTTACGCAAAGCTAGCGACGCAGCAAAAGCCACCAAAAATGAGAAGTCGGCATATTTGTTGTTGATATCATCTAGACAATGCTCCATAAGTCGCCATTCAACATTTGTCGGGGAGTACAAACGCCGCTGGGCGAGGTAGAGCAGCGTAAAGAAGTCTTTCCGTCGTGCATTTTCCTCCTGAAGAGCGGCCCTACTCACTCCTGGTTGGCTTAATAACATTCACGTGCTAATTAACACATACACACATGTAAGTGTGCGTGTGTTTGTGGTGAAAAAATAAGAGGGGAGGTAAAAATAAAAATAAAAAAAAAATAAGATAATAAATAGCAATTAAGAAACATAGCAAATAAGATACACTCAAAGAGAAACAGGCTTTTCTTCCGTAGTGTCATGCAATTCAAAGAAAAAAAAAAAAAAAAAAAAAGAGTGGCAGAGTGGCCTCCGGCCGCCGTGTCCGGAAGTGTCAAAGGGAAAGTTTCAGAGAAACAGACATGCCAGGAAAACAAGCCAAAAAGTAAAAAAAAAAAAAAATCACTCCACAAGTTCTACGACGCCCTGCTGAATTAACGTCTCGGCCTCTTCAAACCCTAATAAAATTTGTTTGCCCTTGTAAAGGCTAATCACCGCCCCGGAGATGGGGGAGACAAACACATGGTTCACTAAGCCACGAACCTCCAACTGCTGCGTCGAAGGAGGACGCCATGTGAAGGCTCTAAGATCTAACGGGACCGCAAATGATGTCATGTATTCCACCATAACATCATTATATTCCTGCAGAAAAGTTGATTCGAATGGGGTCAAAACATCCGACAAGGCGTTATCTTTCGCCTCCCACCACGCCCGTGTCATCTGCGATTTCCTCCACATCATGTATGCTAGGAGACAACGCTTGTCCCTCAAGTACTTGGCCCGGTAGTACTTCATGGAACTGGCGTAGAACGGCTGAGACGCATCGGCGTATGGGTTGCGTGAGATGCCTTCAAGATGACGGAAGGAGTCCGATACGCAATCCACGACGGCCTTCACCTTGCGCTCATTAAACGGCACCATCGTGCCTCCACTCACAACGAGCGCCCGCAGCTCATTGATGAGCTCAGCGGAAGGATCCACAGCGTCCTCCATTGGCACACAAAGTCCCCCGCCCTTTAAAGCTCAACCAACAACAACAACAACAACAACAACAACAACAACAAGAAGGAAAGCACAGCGTGGAGAAGACACACAAACACACATAAAAAAAAAAAAAAAAAAGAGAGGGGGAGGGTGCATCAACCCCCGAACACAAAGAGCACCCCACAGTGAAAGGCGGGAAAAACAGCCACAAAAACAACAATATTCCTTCGGGTAGACACAAACACACACACACAAAAAAAAAAAAAAAATTATGCCGCCTCCGCTAAAATTCCCTAAAAAAAAAAATATATAGAAAAAAAAAAAAAAGAGAATTAAAACGCGAGAATAAAACAAATTAAAGATGACGAAACACAAGAAGTCCCATTAGTTCCCCCGCCTGAGCTGTCAATCCTCGAAGTCACATGTGTTCTCAGCACGCCCCACCAATTCTACTCGTTTTATTTGTTTCGCTTATTTTGTTTAGTTCCGTTTTCCCCAATTTTGGGGCGTAAAAAGTCGGGGGATTTCTTCTTTTTTTAAAAATTAATTTCGTGCAATGCATAAAAAGGAGGCGCACCGGGACAAGGAGCACAGATGCAAACATCAACGCACCGACTTTGGCTTCAGCGAATGGCTCGGGGCATTCTTGTCACTCCCTGAACGATCATGGTGGGCGTTTTCATACTCCTCGGCAAGAACATCCGCCTTGTCCTTCGGTGGAACGTAATCCTCATTTTCCTTTGGGGGCATCTTTATTGCGTTCCTTTAGTTTTCTGGCTCCTGTTTTTTTTTTTTTTTTTTTTCCTTTTTTTTCCCTTTTTTGTAATCTTGATAGCTTGGATTTGCTTCTATGACCGATGAATGCTTCCGGTATCTAATACAAAAAAGAAAAGAAGCAGCGAGAGAAAGATGAGGTTAGTACACAGCATGCACACATGCTCATGTAGGTATCTTTCCACATAGAGTAAGAAGAAGAAATAAAAAAAAACAGCAACAAAAAACAAGAGAAATAGCGAGTAAAGGAAAAAGACATCACACACGCGCCCAATAAAAACTCAAATCTCATGCTCAATCTTCCGCCACCGTCTCTAAACTCATGTGCTTCCTACGCTTTGCGGTGATGTGCCTCTCCTGGGCGGGATCAAACCCTTCCCCTGCTGACTCTGGTAATGCCCAGAATGGGGTCGGACGCAAGTAAGCATTGGCTGTGATTTGGTCGGAGAGAACGGGGTCAAGGACCATGGCATTAAACTTCTCAAAGTCAATCCACGTATGCCAATTTCCGTCAATTTTAAACCGTTTCTGCGCCAACAGGACGCATCCGGAATGCTCATGCAGCGAGGCCACTTCATACTCCTTCCCGTCAAATATCACGTCACACAACCGCTTTCCATACGCCTTCAGTTGTTCCCATGACGGAACATTTTTGATACGAAGAATACTTTGACTGTTTCCTGAAAACGCCGGCGTAAGGCGTTTTAGTTCAACAAAGTTCGGTCGACCGGTTTCAAAAAGGCTTTTGTACTCCAACAAGTTTTCCTCGCTCATGTTAAATTCATTGATCATTGTTAAACGAAAAACAGTCCTCTCCCTTCTCGCACTCATGTAAATCACACTCTGTTGAAAGCGTTCCCAGTAATCGGGAAACACGGGGCGGTCCAAAATCTTCATTGTTTCCCTGTTGGGGGCATCCACGCTGAGGTACAACTGCGTGACGGGCGTTAACTCCCTCAACGCATCAGGGAATTGACCGTTGTTGACAAGAAATGTGGAAATTCTTTTTCCATGGAGAAGATGAAGAAAGGCGTTCACGTACGGGTACAAGACACTCTCACCAACAAGCGAAAGTGCACAGTGCCTTGGGTTCATCGCCTCCTCCAGTTTCTCGTCTGTCACACCCGGCATGCCGCGTACCCCTTGAATCAACGATTTGTGACTTGACAACATTCCATCCACAATGGCCTGCGGGTCATCCACCTGCCATTTCCACTTCGTTGCCGTAGGGTTAGTATTTAAGCGCCAGCAAAAGACGCAATTGTTTGCACATGCCATGCTTGGGGTGGCCTCCATACAGCGGTGTGATTGAACTCCATACATTGTCCACTTGTAACACCCACCCCTACCACGCATCATGGACTTTTGCCAGCGGCAAAGCTTCACAGCACTATGAGTCCCCACCAGAGAATACATGGATCCCAGCGTGGCGCGGCGTCTCTCCGACAGCATCGGCCGGCTCGCTATTTTTTCGATAACATTCATTGCTATATTCACTACAGACAATTGTGAAAAGGAATAAACACAGCGGAGGATACGTTTCGTTCTTGTAGGGGGCTCCTTTTTTTCTTTCTTGTTTTCCCCTCAGGCCGTAAAATAAAGATGTTGCCCAAACGTCATTGGGCGTTGTTGACGGGTTTGGGGTTTACTAAATGAAATCCCTGGCGATTTCATGCATGACTGCATCAAAGAGTTGCCAGGGCCAATTGCACACACACACACACACACACGCACTTGTAATTATCCGGAGGGAATCCAGTAGCCAGCAACGCTTCCCCTCATGGGGTTGTTGTTGTTGGCGCAGGGCTGACGGCATCGACCAGCGCCCGGACCGGCCGCGTATGACTGAGGCACGCAGTTGTAAACGCCATGAGGTGTGAAGGCACGTGTTACCGCAGTGCGGGTCATCAAATTCATTTGAGAAAACACGAGAAAAAACAACAAACGAAAAAAAAACTAAATGTGGAATTCCTCATGAAATTACGCCCGGCAGTAATCATTTCCTTCGCTTTCACTCTCGTTTTCTTTCTTTCTGTGTGTATGTGTGTGTCCATCACTGACACGCAATTGTACGGACCAACAGACATGTTTTTAATGTTTCATTTTTACTCATCTCAAAGCGCAAGCACTGAAAGCGCTGCGAAGTAGTCCAGTGGGGTAACGACGAAACGGTACAAAAAGAATACGGCCACACCAAAGCATATAGATATAGGCAACGCGGGGAGAGCGGGAAAGCGACTTTTGTACATCAGCAACGTTGTCAAAGTGGCCACCAGACCAAAACAAACGGCTACGGTGGACGCTGCCCATGGCATAAATGCGTATAAAGCTGCTCTAGCACTTAAAACGCTATAAAATATAAAATCACCCAGACCTAATTTGAATGGACTACGGTCCAGGGCATAATAAAGGCGAGACACAGATGTCATTTGAGAAGATGTTTTGGAATCAGCATCGTTGCTACTATTATTTTCACGTGAGCCATCCCGTGTATGCATGTCCTCGCCCGGGGGTACTCCCACACGTTCTGCTGTTTGCATCGATGGATTCGCACTTGAATTATACACAAATCCGGGGAGCGGTTCATTTCTTTTCTCTGCAATCTGAATGAGCATCTTAAGTGGCCCCCGCGGGCTTAGTACAGCAACCATATCGTATAGCGCGACAAACACAAGCATCGACCATGTGCTCCACTCTGAAAAAAACGTCATTGACCAACCCACAATGACTGACACCACCACCAGATAAAACTGCGCAAGGACGGGGTGTGCGTAGTAAAAAATAGAGACAAGCCCAACAATACCAGCGTTCCAAAGTAAAAATGAGGATGTAATAAAGTCGTATGGTATCTGAAACCGCGTACAGAAGAGATCCATCCACATCCACGTCATGAAGAAAAGCGTAAATCCTGCCGAAAAGAACAAAACTGCAAAAAGAACCTTCTCACAATGACACGCGTATAACAACACCATTAAAAATGTCATAACGGTCAGCATTGCAACAAGAATCAAGGCATTCACTATGGAAGAACCAATCTTGCCCCGAATGGTGTCATGCGCTTCCTCATCCATAAAGGAAAAAATAGGTGAAAATTGCTGGTCAGCAACAAAACTGGACAGATTCAACACACTCCATGAAACTAAAAGCATACATGCAAACACAGGTACAAGCAGTGCCGCAATGCGCCTTCCTACAAGCAAGGCCACACCGTCTATCGGTATTTTCTGCTGCATCTCTGAGAAACCCCTGACTCAACTGAAGGCCCAAAAAAAAAAAAAAAAAGATAAGATAAGAGGAAAACACGCATTACAAGTCAACAAGGAGTACGCATATGAGGCCCAAAGATAACGGTAAAAGAAGCACGCAAATATATATATATATATGCAGTTAAAAATAATGACGGGATAAAAGAAGACACAATACCTTCCCTCTCCCTTTCTTTTTTCCTTTTGCTTCGTACCCTTCTTTTTCTTGTTCTATTTTATGTTTGCCCCTAGAACAACAACAAAAAAAGCAACAGGCTTTCGTGTGGGATGCATGCAACGAGGCGGCAGAGGTTAGGGAAAACATACATAATACATGCCCTGCATTATCCGACGCAGACAAGCCCCTCCCTTTCCTCCTGCTCACTCCGTTGCCTCCCGTACAAACACTTCCCCGCCCTGAGGAGGAAAGGGAAAAATAACGGGTAAAAAAAACAACAAAAACAAAAAAACCAATGCACATTAATGGATCAAAATCATTATTTTCCCTAGCCTCTCAATCCACTCACACCACCCCTCATTCTCCCTTTTGCTTGCATTTTGCACGCCTCTCCTCATCCTCCTTCCAATTATAAGCCCCAGCGGTAGGATCCACGCACGGAACACAATTAGCCAAATCGCTAAAACAAACGAGAAAAAAAACAAACAACAACAAAAAAAAAAAAAAAAGAAAGAAAATTTTGCTTATATACGGCTGCAATGAACACTACGACAGCGACGGGGGTACAAGTGCGCCTGGAGGCTTATGCCGGATGTAGAGAAACAGGGGCTTGATCATTCCAACAAAGAACACCAATGCTGCTACTAATGCAATCATAGAAAATGCCATTATTCCTTTACTTTCCTGAAATGGGACCTTCACATTCATGGTAAACAAACCGGGAATAATAGAAATTGGCATTGCCACCATCATTACTTCTGTCAAGACAGTGCTCACAAAATCCATCCAGTAGCAGTGTTGTAACAATCGCATCGACACTCCACTTACAAGACTCATACTTGACAGATTAAGAACATCGCGACCTTTTCGAAGATGTTCAATGGAAAGTAGTAAACCAGAGAGCAGTCTCTGGTAACGACTCAAAGCACCGGAGTCTGCTGTAATAAAAATGCGGCGCATGACCGGCAACAACAACTGCTGAATAAGTCGCTCTTTAGCCAAAAATGTTGTTTGTACTCGAGTGAGTCTGTGGCGCAGATCCTCAATACGGCGCAGTAAGTCCATCTGATCGCATTGAGAGGGTTGAATTTGAAGCACCAACTCATTCACATTGTCCACTTCGACAAGCAAAGAAGAAGGTTCCTTCTGGTATTCCTTCACGAACGCAGTAATGAGGGAACACACAAGGATCGACACGGGCTCGGTATGAGGGTTTAAAGAGGATAAGATAAACTCCATCTGGGCCCTCACCTCGTCTCCCCCCGCAACAGGCCTACGAAAAATCGTAAGCAAAAAGCGTTCAAACGCAATCATACACACTCTTACAGGCTCTTCCCCTTCATCTCCCAATGAAGCTTGAGTTGCGTGCCTAGCAGCAACATGGATACATACATATCCACATAAAGGAAATATTTCAGCAACATCATTGTCATTTCTTCCACTCTTCACATCTTCTTTCGTAGAAGAATGAATAGGGAAATAAGAAATCACCTTTTCAATAGTTGCATCATCGTCGCATTCAAGTTCAATCCATGCAAAGTCAACGGGCTTCAAATTTGTATCCACTATATCCGTGTTATCGGTCTCCTCATCGTACAATTCCGCCATAGATGGAATGATGAGTTCCTTGTGGGACTTGGGAACAAATGGAAGTGATTGTACCGCACTCATGGCTTCCGCAAGATCACTTATTTTGTACGTTTGCATTGGCCCCGACACTCCGTCCCTTCGGACAAGCAGTCGAATCTTTCCGGTATCTGCGTGGCTTTCCATGTTTCGTATTCCACCATCTTTTTGCATAAAACAGAAGAAGCAATGACAAAAAACATAAAAAGAAGAAGAAGAAGAAGAAATAATAATAATAATCATCATCATCATAATCAAAGAAAAACAAACAAACACGGCAGAGAAAAAATAAAAGTGAGTGCGGTTCAACAATGACTTCAAGAATCAGATGAAGGCAGTTGACTGCTCCAAAAGGGGGACAAGAGCAATAAAATAAAATTTAACAACAACAAAAAAAAAAAAAAAAAAAAAAAGAAGAAAAAAAAGGAATCTGAAGAACAAATGACACAATATCTATTCTATTACTCACCCTAAGTTTTTTCTCCATGACCATTCCTTCTTGCGCTCAATTCCATCCAGCACGCATACGGAGGCAGTTCCGGGTAGAAGGCACCGAAGGCTTACTTGCCTTCACATGCAACGGTCCCTCAAGCTGAGTTCCACTATACCACGCATCGCCGGCCCGATATTCCCGACTTTGTCTGGTGAATTTGGGATGAGCTAAGATATCTGCTCTAAATATAGCTGCCCGCTCTGCACGTGAGAGGGTGGCAAGGTACGGGTTGCTAAACCCTTTCGCAACGCGTTTCTTCTCCAAGGCATGCGGGGAAACATCAGAGTGAGTAGGGCATGACTTTCGAGCCGCCTGCACATCTGCGGCTTTTCCTTTCAAATCCCAGCAAAGTGCAGACTCAATTTCAGGTCTGCCAGTAAACTTATCCATCCGCTGGTAATGATAATTGAGTTCTTGTAAGTCAACTCGTCTTTCAAATCTTGAGTTATCTGCCCCACGCAGGTGCTCCGTGGGGCTTGCGTCTTCAGAAAGTGAAGGAACACCATGACAAAAGGGCAAAAATTCGGTATCCCCTGCGAGTTGATCCGCCGCTCTTTTTTTGGCCAACGCCACTGATTTCTGAGTCTTCGTGGGCTCAAAGGGGCATGGATTTCCTTTGAAGCCCACCCTGCTGCGCTGAATCAACCATTGGAGGCGATTTAATGACTTCTCCTGATATGTTCTTTCCCCCTTTGTTATTTTTGTCATGCGGACGGCAACTTATTCATTGCAAACAAATCAAGTGCGCACAATGATGTAAAATAATAATAATAATAATAATAATAACATAAACACAAAAAGTTCAAGAGAAGGAAGGGAAAAGGATAGCAACAATAGTATATAAGCACAGGAAATGCATGCATGCAAATTTACATATTCAAAAAGGGAAACGGCCACATATAAATCTTTTATAAATGGGCCCACAAATACAGCAAATAAGAGTGGGAGAAAGCTTTACAACACAAGGGGTGGAAGACGCAGAAAATAACAACAGAGGACAAATAACAACAACGCAAATATTCACCTGAATGAGGCCTAGCTCCCCTCCTATTCTCAAAAAGAGACAAAACACAAAGAAGACCACAAGTTGTTTCAATGCACCCGACATCCCCCACAACTCGGAGGGGATTCAGACAACACTCAATACGCCCATCAACAAATAGGTGCAAAACACACCTGCTGCGATAACCGGGCATGCCGCAATATCACGAATTGGCATCCTTTCGTGCCCCACAACCGCCGGACTTCCCTGTGCAGAGGGCAATTGCAGTATTATTATTATTATTAATTATTATTTATTGGTAGTGGGTGGACAAAGAACTCACACCCTGCTGCCTTCCAACGTGCGGTATCGTCGGAAGCAACTCAAGTTCCCAGTAAAGAAACAGCGGGGACCAAGAATGCAATATATCACCTTTCTTGGCCCATCCGGACGCCCGTTCTGTCCAAATGGTTCTAAAAGAAGATGCTGGGTAACACTCGCTGTTTTTCATAATTCAGGCATTCTCAACCTCATGAAAGCAGGCGTCACAGACTCGCTCAGGGTCTGTATATGATGATTCTGGTATCACACAGGTGTTAGACGAACAGGAGTTGCAGAAAACTTTCCCACAATTCCGACAGTGATGCCGTCGTCTCCAAAAGCCAAATAATCTATCACATCCCTTGCATGAGCTAACCGTTGAGTCATCCACCCACTCGACCTTGCGAATCCAAAAACTTGACAAATCCTTCGTTGTAAGATTCTCAAAATCAACATTTTCAAAGAATGGGTGCCTTTTTACTTCCTCCATGCCAGGACGCTGAACGGGATTTTTTATCAGAAGCTTTGATATCAGATCTTTCGCATCGCTATCCAAGTCTTCAGGGTAGTGAGGCTCCTTTTCAAGTATACTTTTTATGAGAAGATATTCTGTTGGCTCATCAAAGGGACGTCTTCCCACCAACATATGATATAATACGCAGCCACATGCCCAGTAGTCAGAGGCAGTACAGGTATAATTGTCTTGTAAAAGCTCAGGCGACATATAATGCGTCGTACCGCAAAACGTCTGGGCACGACCTTTACTAGATTGTTCACCCTCTGGACGTTCATCAGCAGATTGACACACCACTGCTGTGCCAAAATCAATAAGCTTAATATGCTTGCTGCTTGTAAGCATTATATTTTCTGGTTTAATATCACGGTGTAAAATGGTAATTGGCTTCAAAGGTGCATTAGGAACAATCGGAAGGCTTTGCTTAGGTGCATAGTGCAGGTACCAGACAGAAGAAAAAAGTTCCGCTAAAACATAACGTGCGGCGTCAAGGGGTAGCTTTTGGCGCGATGTAATGGCGTGGAGAAGCTCTCCTCCGTCGCACAATTCGGTCACGTACATGAGATCATCCGGTGTCTGCATCGAGGCAAGAAAACGAACTATATTTGGGTGTTTGCACATAAGAAGCATGCGAGTTTCCCTTCGCGCCACTTCAGCCATACGATTCCTTTCCTCATCCGAAGGAGCGGTGAGGATTTTTCGCTTTGAAATAAGTTTCACAGCATATCGCATACCATTCGGGATGTAACGCGCAACCAAAACCTTACTAAAGGCCCCTGTACCTAATGTTTTCTCAAATTCAAAGTCATCCGGCGACATTCGTGTGGTCGTCATGGTTGGATCAGACAAATCGAGGAGGTGGCAGCGAAACGGAACAGAAACAAAGAACAGGTACCACCTTCTTAAAACTCTACTGCAGATAAAAGAGAAGAAGAGATGTGGGGGAGGAATAAGCAACAATAGGGCTATAGGCTCAAAAACTCAAGCTGCTCACGGCAAACAAAATAGCACAATGGGTGATAAAGAAAGAAACGGGAAGACATGCAATACAAAACAAAATTTTGAGTAGGCGACTCTATCCACTTCTGAGGTTTCGTTAAGAAACTTTTCAAATATTGCGAAACATTCATTGATAAAAACAATAATGTTGGAGCATCGACAAAAGTCAAGATTTGCTCATAGTTTTCAATATAAAAAAAAAAAAAATGTCTATTTCTCTCGTTTCTCTGCCTGCTCTGAGACAAGAAAAACTATATCAACCCTCTAATTGTTTGTGTAAGCATATCAAAAACACCCATCCCACTCCAAAAGAGAGAAAATAAATAAATAAATCTTTTCTATTCTGCACGCACGTACCTGCGTAAGTGCGGGTCTAAATTAAGTGATTCTGGCGCCCCGAAAGGATCGTTTTTTTTTTTTCCATTCTCAATGTCCCCTTCCCGGTGCGTTTGTGCTACCTGCACAACAATCTCTGCTGCTTCACGGTACTGTTTCAGTCTCTTCTCTCTCTCCATCTGAAGCGACAGAACGCGTTTCCTCGTAGCCAGCCTCCAAAGAACAAGAGTCCGCTTGCATTCGTAACTCCCACTCTTCAATTGCAGCCTTGTCACGACGCTCATTCCCAACGCGTTGCCCAACTCGTTTGGCCTTTCCTGCTATATTCTTGAAGTAGTCCAAAACAACTTCATCACGTAGCCACTGCTTGTACTGCTGATAGCATGCCTCGGAGGTTATTTTCTTAATAGATCGCTCTGTAGAATAGGTAAGTTCATGAAGGCAAAAGGCTAAATTACGCGCCATTTGAAGCTTTCTTTTACTGCGCTCAGAGTAAGGCTCAAAGCGCAGACACAATCGCTCAATGAGGGACTCCGTCGGTTTATCCCCTTCTACGCGTTCAAGCAGGGATCGCATAGCCAATTGAAATCGATCAGGAGGTATAGATTGGCTCAGTTGTGCAACAAGTGGAGGAATCAAATTACCTGTTTTTTCCTTTTCCTTCATGGCCAAGTTCTGAACAAATGCTATAGCATTGTTCGCAATCGTTTCATCGGGATCTGCGACAAGCTTCACAATGGTATACAAATGGTCCCTGATTCGAAGCATCTCTCCAAGAACGAGGTGAGAGCAAACCTGAATCGTCACTGCACGAACTCTCAAATCATCATCGTTGAGAAGTCTAAAAAATCCAGTCGTTGGCACCTTCAGGTACGGAGCAAGCAGGTTTGGATGCACGCAAGCCAAATCACCCAAGGCGATCACCGCGTTCGTCTTGACCACCCAGGACTCGCGTTTTTCAGAGACAATAGCAAAAAGTAGATTCAGGTTCTGTTCACAAAAAGTTTCGCTTATAACCATAAGTTCAGAAAGAGCCATAACGGCACATACTCTCTCCAAGGCTTTTTCCCCAAAATGTTCGGATTTTTCCCGGCAAGCTGCAACAACATACTTGGAGTATCGATACCATACTGATCCCTCTGACATAATGGCATTCTTCCGTCTTTGAGCCAACTCCTGAATAGCATGTCTCTTGTATTCATGAGACCCTATTCCAAGTTCTTTGTGCATAACATCCGCGTTGCTATTACTGTTTATATCATTTAGTGGCTTCTGGGACATCACTTCTGCATCAAGTCTCTTTAGTTGTTGTCGTTCCGCAGAATCTACGGCGACAAGTTGTTTAATTGCCGTTCGTCCCAATAAGAAAAATAGCTGCGTCAAACTATTTGGTTCTGTTTCAATTCGGCGAACGATGTAATCCAAGACGTAAGTGTATACTAAAGCAGGTGATTCGCATAGACTATGAATGGCATTCACTGCTGCATCCGCAAGCATTAGCCAAGAAGAAATTGTCGATGTACGTCGACAAAGGTGAATCACAATTTGTTCCAATATAACATGCTCACGCGGTTCAACCCTCACAGGTATCGGTTGGTAATGTGGATTTTGATATTCACTCTCTAGGCTCTTCAAACAATACGCAAGAAGTACATTATCTTTTATGGCATCTGAACGCAAAAACTCTACTATACTCTCTTTTCTTGCACAAAGTTCTCGCCAATCATGTTTACATAAAAGGCTAAAAAGCCGCATAGCTGTGCGTCTATCAGTAGGTGAAACATCATGGTCCATTGATCCTTCTGCAATACTCCACACGGCATCCATAAATTGACCCGATATCAGCCGTGAGAAGGAGGGATTGCTTTTCATCAGGTCAAAAATACGATCAACAGCACTGACATCACCTTCCGTGGCCCCACGCAAAAACCCAATCAACTTGTGGGCACTGGCCGTATTTCGCATCAAAGATGAGGCTGATGTTTTCGCAAATGCAGTAAACACAACCTCCACAAAGGCATCACGTACAGCGCATTGTATTTTAATTTCCCCTTCAAATATCATAACTAGAACACGGAGAAATGCCTTTTCTGAACCTTCAATGCGATATTCATTGCATGCGACAATAAGTTTGATAGCCTCTATGGCATCACGTTCTGTGCGACTATCTAGTAACGTGGTAGCGTGGCACAAAGCCTTCTTTATTAATTCAGCAAATTCAAGTGCTTTTTCGTAAAAAATCAGCCTATTTATCATGGAACTCTGCTCGTCTGATAATTGAAAAGACTCTGTTGCGTTTTCTTCAGATTCACAAAAAAAACCATTTGTTTCAACTTCAACAGGTCGGCATGTACTTCTCAACTTATCCAATCCTTTTCGAAAAATATCATCAGAATCAAACATCCTTGCTGCTGTTATTCGAGATTCTTCCAGTTTATCACGAACCAAACAGGAGTTTAAAACATGTCCGAACCAGTTTTTACGCAAAATACAAGCAATAACCTGAAGTGCAGAATCCCTGACAAGATGATTTCGATCTTCTAATCGTCCAATAATTGCATTTGTTACGGCAAGATGAAAACGTTTTGGAATTGCTCGAGCTTCTACGAGTCGTTCCCACATATGGATGGTGTGGTTACGAACAAATGGGTTACAATCCATTATGCGGAATAATATTTCACTAAGATATTTATCCTTGGTTTCTTCTTCATCATCTGTACTACGCATGGGTCCCGTATACCTTTGAATAACCATCTCTGTTATACAGGTTATCACGGATTTGCGTATCTCATAACTTTCACTATGAATGGTTTGAACAATCACATCGGCCATCCGAACAGTGACACTTACACATTGCTTTGCAACCTCGCTAAAAAACAATGCCATATTTTTTGCGGCTCCAGCATCTCCGGAAACGTCATGAAGTGCAGCAACGGCCATTCCTTCAACTAGCACGGTAACAATATTAGTGGTAGAATCATTTGAAATATCCCC